AAAATGTCAATTTAATTACATGGATTTCTGTTAACTGGAATTTTTTGGATATTTATAGAATTCGGGAAAATTTTAAGGAAGAATCATTTCCGGGCATATGAACCTTAATTAATAATTATTAACCTTAATCACTAATTCAAAAAAAAAACAAATAAACAAAAATTCACTTTTTGTAAAATGAACGAGAAACAAATTTCTCCTACAAAAAGATTTATTAAAAGCTGCACACTAAATTCTTCATCGAGTGATAAAATAACAAGAGTATCATTTCCCATTTATATTCCTCTTTTAATATCACTTCAACTTGTTCCATAAAAAAGTTAAATTAAAAGTTGAATACAAGTTTCTGGTATATATAGACGAAATTAAAAAAAAGGTGAAAAGAAAGTGGAAATTTATTCAGAAAAGATAAAAAAAAAATAATAATGATACTATTGACAAAACTTTGGTAGTTACATAAATAAAATTTGATTTTTTGTTTTGTTTTTTGTGATAGTGTACATATATATAAATGCAACAAGAACGATATAATAACTGGGTATATATAAAAGAGAAAACGAGTTGAGCAGTGTGTTTGGGACTCCTTAGCTGCAATATAATGTCTCAACAACTGACCACGAAAGGGCCCTTAGGGGCAAATTTACATAGTCACGTATGCATTTCACCAATCGCAGGTCGTGCATATTACAGGACTTATTTATGCATGACTCTCAGTTGACGGATCTTCTCATGCATGTACATACATGACTTTATGCAAATCCCCTCATCTCTTGTCTATTAAATCTAACCAAAAACATTATATTTCCTTCTTCTCGTTCTCTTTCTACTCTTATCAAAATTTAATGTTCACTTTGTTCTATATTTAGTATTTACTATTTATTTACAACTATTTTACTTTTTTTATTTCAAAATATTGAAAATTTCTCATTACTCTCTAAATTTTAATAGAATTAAATCTTTTATAAAATGAATCTAATAATTTAAAAGAATTTTTTTTTTAATGAAGGTAATATTTTTATTTATTAATGCATATTTTTATTAGTAAATATACTCCTGTCATCTGACCTTTAATAGTTAATTTTCGCTGACAGGATAAGTTATCCTTACGAGAAGTTATGTGACTCTGGTTTTATATATCTCCAGTAGTTTATATATATATCAAAAGTTCATAAAAATGTCATAAAATGTATAATGGAGACAAAATGAAGAGAAAACCTGAAGGCGCAAATACATTACTTCCATTTATGTGATGATTATTATATATTAATATAATATTATTTAAAATTTTCAACAAACATTGATAATTATATGTATCAAAGTAAAAATCTAATTAATTAATGTTGACTGGCTTAAATTAATCATGTTGTACTTTATAAAAAAAAAACTTGTGTTAACTGAAAATTCAGTGAACTAGAGAATTAACCATAAAAATCAATGTAATTAATATTATGAAGGTAAACAGTGAGTTCAAACAGCAATAACCAAAATCATAATAATTGTAATTTTCGAAAGATCGAATTTTCCTCTAATTAATTAATAATAAAGCCTAAATACAAATTTAAAAAAAAATTCACTTTTTTCATTTTCAATTCAAAATGGCGATCTTTTGGGGTATCAAATTGAAATAAAAATTTGGATCAATTTTATACTTTCTAGTTAACTGTGATAATATAGGCGTTTACTATACTTTAAGACACTTTTTTTCGTATTGTTTATTATTTAATATTTAATAATATACTTTATTTTACATGCAATTTCCTTGTTATTCCTTCTGATGAAACAAAACAAAACCCACAGAGAAGCATATGTGCAAAAGATAAAAGTAAAATACACACATTCGATCAACATTAAAATGTTGCTTTTTACATGAAATCATAATAATCTGACTCTTCAAAGAACATATATGATTTTGTGAAAACTGGCTCACATGATGGATGGCATTTATAAACTCTAAAATCTCATTGAAGCGAAAAAGCGCTTTTTACCTAAATGCAAAATACACATTGGCTTGGTCAGTGTGGCAATTTATCGCTCTCCCTATTTTTTTATTTTTTTTTATTTTTTACACTCGCACTCAACTGTTTAGTGTGTTCTAAAGTGCGCATATTATATACACATATATATGTGTCGCGCAAAAATAAATCGATTCTCTCGTGTATAAACATTACCCCGAGCAATGTTTTTCGAAACGGAAACACCCCTCTTGATGATGAGGAGATCGTTTTGTTTGGTCGAGCATAAACGCGCACACGTGCACTTACAAGCGCACATCATAATATAAGTATTTTGTATATGTGCGCGCAATTTAACACGTACTTTTGTCTCTTATATATATATATGTATATTACAAAAATTTTACATGTACGAATAAACGACTCACTTGTCTAACTCCTGACTTGGGACGTACACAATATGTTTGAAGCTTATACCCGTAAACACCCCCCCCCCCCTCCCAAGCAAAAGCGACGACTCCCGTATTTCTTTTCTTTCTCGGAATTTTTTTTTTTTGAAGTTCATATACTCACTCGTTTTCTCGCGTAACTTGGAGAGGAGAGTATATAGGTATGGTTGTATGAAGCGACCACAGTTGCGGGAAATTATTATTTCGCCTCCCCTACTACAATAATAAATCTGACTTAATGTCGGAATGGGTATATATGTACAATGCAATTTTGCCGAAAAATTGGTTAAATGTCACAAAAGTTTACGCTGTGGTTTTCTGCTGAATTTGCTGAAAGCCGCTTATATTGAGTCTAATGAAAATAAGTTGAGAAATATTCCATCTTATTTAATCATAATATGAGACATTCTACAGCTTAAATGTTTCAGTAATTAAATTTTATTGAATTGGTTTGAAATTATTGTTAATTCTTGTTCTATAAGGGGAAAAAATGTATAAAAAGCAAAAGTGGATGGAGATTAAATAAAAATGTTGATAAATAAAAATTTGATAAAATAAAAATTTTGTTCTTTTAAAAAATATCATATTCGTGTATAATTTATTACTATATCATTTTCAAGTCTCTCGTGGAAGATTCTAGATTGATAATATATGAGGCAGTGAAAAATAGAAATGTTTTCAACTATATTTAAGTGAAGTTGGAAAGGAGAAAAGTTTTTGTCATTTCATACAGTTTAGTTCACTTTTTGTGGAAACTTAATATACATTTCTTCGAAGAAAACGACTGGCTTCCAATTGTAAATAACGCGTATTATAATAACAAAATTGTCAAAAAAAATTATTCTTTTAGAAAAAATAATTAAATTATAATTATTTAAAGTCAATTGCTATTAATTAATTAATTGTTTTGTTTGAAACACTTGATAATTTTTATAATTTATTAAATATTCTATAATTTGTTACAGCCCCTCAGCTTCTCTATATAATATTAATAAGAAAATATAATTTGAAATTGAATAACCTGTTAAGTATGTATCATTAGATTAGAAACATTATAGTTTCTAGTTTCTGCCTAAGACCCAAGTCAAAGTTAATTACTTAGCCTTCGCAGCTAATTTGAATCAAGTCTAAACGATCCCTGTTAGAGGGCGACCTTCCTCCACGAGGATTACGAAAGTTTGCTTCAAAGTTATATTATTATGGACCTTGCACTGCTGGTTGTGGACGTCGATTATAATCGATCGATATCGCTATATAAACCTGATCTCTCTCTCCGTACAACTTAAGGTTGCTGTGTCTTCAAAGATGTATTTTTATTACGCTTATTTGCCACGCTACAGCTTTATATACTTTGCAACAAGTTGGAACATTAAAGAAGAATTTCTCATTAGCTATTTTATAAATTTTATAAACCCCCCGAGTCAATAACAAACTTTGAGCAAAAGTTTCAGTATTATCTTCCAAGACAAAAGGGAGCTTGTTATTGTATATATATATAATAATGTTCAACATGTCATTATATCCTAACATAATGTTAATTTTTGAGTTGAATAATTTTTAATTATATATCGCTAATTAGGATAATAATTAATAACTGATTAATAATTAATTTTGAAATTAATTATTCAATTTAAAAAGGAACATGAAGTTTTAGAAGAGAATTTTAATTGAAAATAATTTAAAGAAAAAAGGGAAGAATTTGTAGGATAACTTCTTTACGTCCCCTGCCGAGTTGGGGTTTGTCATATATATTATGCGTTGTTAATCCTTGTATTTTAATTATCTACTTATTGCATAATTAGTGTCATGTACCACATATGTTAATTTGCTTAATTTATACAATATAATATTAGTTATCTCTAATTTTTTTCTAAAAAGTCCGTCCCTTGAATTAATAAACCAAAAAATTTTAAATGCACTCTAATTATTCGAATTTAATTACTCTCTCTAAATTTGAATTAGTGAAAATCATTTTAAATTAGAGAAAATTTCTACTAACTTTTAGTCATTCTTCACTTTAGTAAAAAAAAATATATTACCAAATAGTAATATTTTACTAAAAAAAAAAAATTACTTCATTAAAAATTTCGGTTTATTTTTTCTAAGTCAATAAAATCATTCAAAAAAATCAAATATAGTAATTCGCCTTTTTTGGTTGACATATCGCGACTTTTTGATTTCTCTCTATAACGTTCGTGACCTTTCAAAGATGAATTACACGAGCCATAAAGTAATTCCAAGGTAATCTCCTTTCCCGTTTCCTGCAGTCGGATATGCGCTCGTTGTCACGAAAACGCCGGAGACAATTTTGCAGTCTATAAAATGCCCAATACCGCGTATTTTAAAATGTATGTGCCCAGCAAAATTACAGTGATTTTCATTTTACAGCAATCGATAAATCGCTCTATTTCTCGCGCTTGATTCCATATAACTGCTTGGTGTCGAGCAGATCAACGACCCTAATTGAGAACAAATTTTTATTCTTCCCTTTGATTTTCCCAGCATTTGAAATCAGAGTCAAATTTTCCTTTCGAGTACAATAAAATCATAAATTTTTTATAATAAAATTTTTCTAATAAATTAAAATATTCACCTTAGTAACGAATTCTCAGCTTCAAGGAGATTCTTTCAAACTAAATAGCCCTCGGAGATCCCTACTTTCAAGTTAAATTTCCATTCAGAAAATGTGAAAAATAACCGTAAAAATAGACCGAGTTCTATAAAGTCTGAATATGAAGAATTCGGTGTCCTTCACTTTAGCCCTTATCTTTGAAGTACGTGACACCACAAGCCATCGAGAATAGAATCTGCAAGAAGAAAAATTAAAATAAAATTTTTGTTCCGAAAATTATTTATTTGGAAAAATGAAAATTTGACTTAAAAAAACTAATGAAATTCTTAAAAATAAAAATTCTAATTAATGAATTTTAAGAGATAATTATACACCCCATATTAATATTATAATAAAACAAATTTATTTATAATAAATTATGTTAATGTTAGTAAAATTTTATATAAAAAAGAATAAATTTTTTGTAAATTTGAAAATAAACTTAATTGAGATATTTAATTGAAGTATCGTGAATAAAGTAATTTGAAAATTCATGAGGTGTAATTAACTACGCCTTGAAGCTCTTAAGACTTAAATGTATTTACTATAGCGTCTTTATAAAAACAGAGGTTTGAACTTCGCGTATAGTATATGTATATATTTATCTTTTACTGGGCATTTACTCTAGACGCCTACAAGCAGTTTGGTGCCAAAAAAAATATTTTTAGCTCCATTTACAGGGTAATTTTCCTAACTTCCTTGAAGCATTATTTTCACGCGCGCGGAAAATAGCAACCACAATAAATATGTTACATAAGAATGTCGAGGTAACAGACCGCATTATATAATTGAAGAAAATTTCTGATAAAAAATAATTATCATTGAAAATTTAAAAATTGTAGTTTAGATATTAAAAATAAAGATTTTAGAATCAAATAAATTTTTTATCAGGGTATTTTTTTTATTTTTCCAGTGAAAATTAGTCAATTTTTACTAATTTCTGAAGCAAAAAATCAGCCAAGATTTTCTAATTAGTTATTTTTAACAAATTCAGAATTAAGAAAACATTTTCTTTCTCAAAAATACTTCATTATAATTAATAAAAATTTATTAATGATGATAAATAACATTTCAAAATTAGTTTATTGATTGATGGAACGGAAATTTTTGAAAAAGGATAAATTACAGGGTTTGCTATATACGCATCTTAAAATCATTAACTAAAGACTGTAACTGGACTTGTAATTAATGGGAAACTGAAAATAGACACCAACTGCACGTAATAAGTAGATAGATGTATATCGGTCGACTAGACGCGGGGTACTTCTGAATGGCTGTCTCGGGAACTTTGCCAGAAAATATTGGATAGTGATATGGTTCAGACTTGTGCAGACATGATGTGTCTCTGAGAAGAAATTCAGAGAAACGAATAAGGCAATAACGACAGAACACCGCAAGAAGTTTTCAACAAAACGAAGCAAAAAGCTTTTTTTACACATTCAAACTTCAAATTGCACACTTTCACTTTTATCACGTCGCGATTATTAAAAAAAAAACCTTTTCTCCAATTTTTTATTAAAAAAAAAAGAAAAAAAAATCCCATTATATTATTATGATTTTTCGCATTTTTAAATATTTATATGTTAAAAACATATTTCATATACAAACTAATAATTCCTGATATTTATTTTTCAGATCAATGTGGAAAATGCAAAACCAGTACGAAAAGACTGAATCTCAACAAATACTGCAAAAGAGATTATGGTAAGCAGGGATTTGTATTTGTTCTGTAGAAAAAACGATGTAAATGAATTAATTCAGTGGGATAACGTGATTTTTTGATTATATACATTGCGTATATAGAACCAGTCGATTATATATATATATATATATATGAAGAATATAGTCCATTTAAAGTTTAGAGGCTTAAAAAAACTGTTACCGAAGAGTGCGCACAGAAGGGGATTTGTCCCATTCAGGGCAATGACAGTTTATTGTACATCCCCTTATTGCAAGGGCAATATTACACAAACAGAAAAGTAAAAATGTTTCTCTTAATCCTTAATTATGAAAGGGCAAACAGAATTCACTTGTTTATTATTAGATTTCATTTCTTTCTAAAGAAAATCAGAATGAATTTTCATTCCACTGTGTAATCAAATTCGTTTAATTAAAAATTATTAAAAAAAAAAATAAATAAATAATAAAAATAATAATTAATGTATTACTAAATTAATTCTTAATTAAATTAGTATTATGAATGTATTTATGAAATTAAATAAATTTTTTCTAAAAATAAAAATACATAAATAATAAAGTAAAAAAATTCACATATACAAAATTTAACATTGAAAACGGCAATGTTTTTAAATTAAGATTCGTTAATATAACTTTCTTTAATTTCATTGATAGCCACTTATTGAGACGCATTTTATTAAAATTAATTAGAATTCATTGAATTCATAATTCAATTACAAATCCATTTCGATAAAAAGAATAACTACGACATTTAGAATTAAGTTTCCAATTAACATCTATATTGGAAGCTCCGATATGAAATATGAGAAGCAAAAATAAAAAAGAAATAAAAGAAATTCCCCGCGTAATGATTAATTTCACAATATATTTTTTTTATTATTATTTAAATCAAGACAAATTTGATAAATGAGAATTTAAAAATATAAAGAAACTGTAATGAATGAAAAAAAAATTGGAAGCTGATAAAAAACAAGTGACTGTCAATGAAAAAAAATGTTGGTGGTTTATCTTCTTTATTTTAATTTAATTGGAATTGTTACAGCAAAGCGATTGCATTTTAATGATAAATTTAAAAAAATGATTTGTTATACTAAATATTGAAAGAGTGATAAAATCATTATTCTAAAAAAAATATATTTGATTCTACTATTTAGTTAATTATTATTTACTATTATCAAATAAATATTTCCTTAAACAATAGTCAATGAAATATTTTAATTAAGTACATAATTTAAGAAATATTAACATATTAAATACATTTGTTAATTAAATAATTCATTTGTATTTAATTAACCTTCATTATGAAATTATATAAAAATTATTAGAATCTATTTGCGATACATTACATGAAAAAACTAAAAAAACTTACCGATCGTTGAAATCGGTCTTGAAGGGATGCTGTGACTAATGCTGCACTCATAATTTTCCGTCATTTCCCCCCTTTCTCATCCTGTAAAGAAAAAGAAATTAAATTTAAAAAAAGATACAATTTAAAATTTTAAAAAAAATCTATAAAAGAAACAAATCCTTTAGTTTTTAAAACTTTGAAAATAAACAAAATTGAACCTTAATTTAAAACCAATAATATCAATTGGGTAATTAAGGAGAGAAACCGATGAAATTTTAATCCAAGAAGTAAAACGAATTTATATTTAAATGAATCTTTATTTAATGGGTATTTTTATATAAATCAATTTCCATTTAATCAAATTTTTCTTTAATCGAATTTTTATATAGCATAAATATTTAGAATAAATATTTAGTAAAATTTTCAATGAGCAAAATTTTTATTTAACCAAATTTTGCTTAAATCATATTTTTATTTAGATAAATTAATATTTATTAGAATTTTCACTTAAACAAATTTTCCTATAATCGAATTTTTATTTAGCCGAATTATCATTTAGTAAAATTTTTATTGAGCAGAATTTTAATTCAATCGAATTTTTAATTAGCATTGTTCATTAAATATAATTTTTATTTAACTAAATTCTTATTTGTCTTTCTTAATAAAAATGTTGGTTAAATGAAAGTTCAGCCAAATATATTTACAAATTATGATAAGTTAAAATTAAATTAAATTCGCCTGAGTTGAAATATATTCATACAAAATAGTCACAAATCTGATATTTTATGTCAATTTTAAATAATTTAATTTTCTAATTCTATGTCGAAATGCTTTTATTATCATTATAATTATTATTACTTACCGCAACTGCGAATCATTTTCTTCCATGAGATGAGATTTTTGCAAGAGACTAGTCGAAATGAGGTATCTGAAAAAAGAAAAATTAATTGCGATAAAATCTATTAATACGACGCCATCTTGAAAAAATGTTAATATACATAATTATTTTGTTCAACTACTAAAAATCTTTGTTGTAAAAACATAAGAACCTAAAATGCTATTTCTGTAAAGGCTGTAAAGAAATCTGAAATGCTTTTTCAAAATGAAAAACCATAAAATAATTTGATCGTTATTTTTACATTTTTCAACAATCTATACGTGCAAATAAACAGAAAGAATTGGCATGGCACTATTTTAATCACTTACTTTTTATCACATACTGATCATTATTTACACTAACTATTATAAAATACTCTTCTTCTTAAATCAAATAATAGTTGACATGCAAAATTTTATTCAAGAATATAAAGGAAACCAAAGGAAACTTACCTTTTTGGATGCAAAATGATCAAGATGTGGATGAAGTACAGCAACCGTCACATTTGTCGATGCGTTCCTAAAGTCATCAATAAAAAACATCTAGAAAACAATCTATGCTCTGATTGGCCAAAACGTCAAAGCAATTTTTTGATTGGTGGACAAGTTTAAGTCGTAGTTTTCGAATACAATTTACTGAAAAATAAAATTAGACAACAATTACAATATTTTTACATAATCTTTTAAACTTATATTACATAAAATTCGATTGTAGATGAAATGCAGTGCTTTAAATTATGATTTATCTATTAGATTCATTTTAAAAACGAACTATACAACTTTTAATTTGCTACTTTGACTAGTGGCGTAACATCATTGTTTACTTCCGGTTGCGCGAAAAAAATGAAAATAAATATATTCTGCGCAGACATTCTGCTTTTCGAAATTAGAATTTTTATTGTTTATTTGCACTAAGTTTTGTTTTTAATTTTATTACTTACTGATGAGTACTTTTTGAAAATAATATGCGACTTTTATATTCTTCAGTAATTCTTTAACAAGGGGAAAACAATATCAAAGCACTAAATTGTATCTTAAACCTCAAAATTAGGTTTGTAAATAAGCCTATTTGTAAACAAAACAAGGTAACCTCAAAATTTGTTTTTTTCTCTATTTTTTTTTCAATTAATTACAAATATATTTATTATTCTTGTTTTTAAAAACATTTTTTAACTATTGGTGTAAATATTTTTTCTATGAAAAAGAAATTTTTATCAATATTTCTATCTATAAGTATATTTTACTTCGTTGAAAATTGTACGTTATATAGAAAGTGATTTTTTTTCCATTTTTTATTATTTATTTTTATTTACTTACCTTTTCTTTATCTTTTTGAATGCATAAAAATTGAATTGTACTTTTGTTATTAGTTAATTTAATTTTAAATCATCAAAAATAAATAGTATAAAATAAAATTAAATGGCAAAACAAGATAAATAGTTTACAATGAATTTTCTCTATACGTATAAATTGTTTCACGTACGAGATTATCAATGAATCGTTTATTTTCACAGAATGCGCCATTCACCTTAATCGAGCCCTCCCATAAATCTAGTTAATCGAGGGTCTTGCATGCGTATAGATGTACTAAGTGCGATGTGACGTTGTGCGACAACTTGTCGTGCAAGTGTTGCAATTCTAATATAAGCGAAGCAGCAAGTGAAAATTGCAAGATGGGCGGATTCCTTATGTTGTAAAATCTATTCCAAGTCGACAGTTAAGTGTGGACTTGTCCAAGATTTATCTCCAGTGGATCGAGAGCGAGAGCGAGAGAGAAAGAGGTAGAGAGGAAAAGACCTCTTCACCTGCACTCAAAAGCATGCCATTCTATTATTGAAACACAGAGAGGGCGAACACTAAATGTGCTTTTCATTTTTCAATAGCGCTTTACGCACATTTCGCACAAAAAAAGGAGAGAAAAAAAGCTCAAACACAACCCAAAAAGGGGAAAAAATCTCAAAGAAATAAAAAAGTTTCCAATGGAAAAAAATTTACTAGTTCAAGTTTTATTTTTAAAAAAATTACACTATTTGATTTTTAAAATTTACATATTTTGATTAATTTTTACATGAATTAAGAAAACTTTTTTTTTATATTTTCAAACAGGATGATTATCTTTTATATAAAAAAAAGAAATGTTTGCGCAACTTTTGATAAAAGCTGTATATGCGAAGTCGTTTTATTTTTTGTGATAATACGCCATCAAGAATCGTATTCTATCAAAGGGACCTGACTGGATCGATTGTCCAGTGAACGATAACAAAGCCAATAATTGGCTTGGTATGCCTTGATGTGTAATATATAAATTAGAGATATTGTAAGGCTACATTAGGCGTTGTATCAGGGGAGGGGAGAAGAATGGTACGCGTGACAAAAAAAAAGAACAAATAGAATTCACATTTTCCGAGAACTCGCTTTTTTTATTTTATATACATGTATAAAAAAGTATGTCCAATTAACGAAGATTTTTTTTTATTTTCTCTTACAGCAATTCTGGTTAAAGTGTCGGACAGGCATCAAAAGAGCGATGGACCGCGAAATGATGCAGTTGCACCAGGTTCTTCCTGGGTGCAATTTCCTCTCGACGTCATTCTCATATACAAACGAAATCGAGACCGAGACACTAGAATTCAACGAGGTCCAATTACACTTTACGTTCGTAGTGCTGACTTCGCATGCAAATGTCCTAAAATTAAACCATACAAGTAAGCCACTTTTCTGTTTCTATATAAAAGTTTTGAGATTTTTTACTTTAAAACAAAATTTACCATTCATAGGTGTATTAAAAAAAACTTTAATGAGACGAATTTTGAGAAAGTAATTGCTTAGTAAAAAGTAACTAATAAAAATTGAATATATTTCAGATCCTACTTGATTTTGGGCCAGGAAAGCGAGAGTGGAGGAAGCGAAGGCCTGACAGTGACAGACAAATCAATCGTTATCGAATGGCGTGACGAATGGCGTCGTCGAATGCGTCGCTTTGAACGAAGAGCGAGATCCTGTCATTGAATTGATTCAAGCAAAAGATCTTCTCTCGTCATTTACGACACCTGGAGGATGCGCTCCTTTTTAAAACTCACACAAGGATCGTTACTCTGACTTTTCAAAAATCTTGATTACCAATATTTTCTAATTGATAATCGTAATATTGGTCAATCGCAAATATAGTTGGTTTCGTTCTTATACCAGCGACTTTCATTGCGGGATCATCAAGAATTTGAAATAACAACATTAATGAAATTATGATCCTGATAAATATCGAATAACGAACGTTAAATAAGTACCTAGATATATATATAAATAATATTCGTCTTAAAATAAAGTCGAATAATGCGAAAAGTCACATTGGTGTCGTCATGAATTTGCGATTATTTTTTTTAAATTTTAACTTGCTTTTTTTTATTTCTTTGTTTAAATTTTCACATTATTTATTTTTTTATTTTGATGAAGATCAGACGCGATCGATTGAAGCCTGAGAATTTCCGTGCCGCGCCATAAAGCAAATGATGCTAATTGCTAAGATAAATGATGTGTAACGCCTGCAGGAATACAGGATTATAGAACGTTGTAGTTTGCAAGAAATTTTGCGCTGATTGCCATATATATATAAATATTATATTTATTTAAAAAAATCGGCGATTTGCGGATATATATAAATCTAAGATATAGGAGTAATGCGACTTAGAATCACGTATGTTAAAAAAAATTGTTCCAATGCCTGGATTTTCAGAGGCAAAATTTTTTTTCTTTAATTTATAATTTTTTTGTTATTATTTCATTTTAACTACTTTTTAACAGTGAATTTTAATTTTTTATTTTTTTTAAGAACATTTTTGTTAAAAAAAATTTTTTATATATAAAATTCTCTAAGAAATTATAATTTTGAGTTATAGTTTCAAGAAGTGAATTTAAATTTAATTTCGTGAAATTAATTGCAGTTATTTTAAAAATTCTTTTCGAACAAAATACAACTAGAATTTGAAAAAACAACTTCACTATTTATTTTCTAATAGAGAAAGTCTTAATTAATAAATTTTATTAAAAGGTAATCAGCCATTGAAAATTCAGACTTGTCTCCCAAAGAACCTGTAATGACTCTCGTTTCACGAAGTTAGCATTGCGAAACTATAAATATTCAATATTCACCAGCTGAGAAAGAGTCAACGCGATCGAAAGAAAATGATAACACTGTTCCGGGAGAAAAAAAATCATCAAACTTTTATACTTTAAGAAAGTTAATTAATTATTTATTTTTTTTTTAATTGAAAAACATTTTTTTTCAAAAAATTCTTAAATATCTTTCGCAAAAAAAATGACGCATAAAACTAATCCTTGCTTTCATTATTATTAATGAACTTTCGTCGTTAATTTGTACAATTAAAAGTCAAAATTATTTATTATTTTATTAATTAAGAATTTTTAATAATAATTTTATATTAGATTACAAAGTGGTATTACTTTTAAAAATGATTCGTTTGCATATAGCTTTAATATACACGATAAATTGAATAATTATTAAGGAAAATTTTATTTCTTGTGAAATAGTGAATTTTAAATAGTCATCTATTTTTTTAATTTTATATATGAAATCGTGTGAGGAAAAAAAACGAAACCCAAAATTTTATGTTAGAAATGTTATTTTACACACATTTTTTAAAATCAAAAAAAATATATATATAATTTAAACCTTCGAAACTCGATATTTATTTATTAAATTATATTTAATAAATTAAATTAAGTTTTTTTTACAAAAATTAATTTAATAATGTGGAAATTAATTTAATAATATTAATTATTTGCTAATTAAGAATAAATTCACGAAAGCGATATAATAATAATAATTGAAATTTGTAAAGTGTCGAGTTTCAAAATTTAAGACTTTTACTTTAATTTTGACGCTAGTATACATACTGTGTATATATATAAATATATATTTAACTATTTAAGTATCTACGTTTGCTATCGTCGAAGCCAAGAGCGTTTAATTAATCTTAGATTATAATCACGATCAACTTTATTGGCGACAAAATCGTCAAGTTTCAATCTTTACGAATTTTTAAAACTAACGAAAATTGAAGTTTTAAAGGAATCTATTTTCTTTAAAAAAAAAAAATTTTTTTACTCTTTTAAAAAAAATTTAACAAAAATTATTTTCTATAAATAATCTTTTATTAATGAATATTTATCTTAAATTTTTGTAATAAATTTTTTTCTTAACTGTGCTGCTTAGTAGGAGGAAAAATTTTCTCATTTTTTAAAGTAAAACTACAATTTTTTGTAAAATCTCTGAAATAATCAAAAAAAATATCATTTTTTTTTCAAAAACAAAATCAAAAGAATTTTTCTCGGAGAAAATAGAAAAAATTAAATCAATTTTGAAAAATTTTTTTTAAATCATTTCTCAAATTTTATATATTGAAATTCTCTCTCTTTCTCTCTGTTTCTTAATTTATTATTTAAATTAATAAAAATATGTAAATTAAGAATTTTTATTTTTAGATTTCTATTCTGATAATACTCCAACGATACTTGTTATCTATTCACGCTGATCTGGGGATAGGGCATTCACATTTTTTTCGTTAAAATTTTTTTTAACTATTTTACTGTCAAAATTGATCAATAAAATTATAAATAATGGAAAAAATTGAATTTCTAAAATAACTGAATTTACAAAATAATTGTCCAATCCCCGCTGATATTTAATATTAATATATTAATTAAAATAATCTAAATACGATAACAAGAAATTGTTAAACACTTCGTTGTACATTTTTTCTATATAAGGATGAAACTTCGTTTTTAAACGACGTATTTTACCTTTTTCTTTATAAAAAAAAACAAAATTGAAACGGCTAAAATTTAAAAAAGGCCACATGGATATCGACGTTATACGTACAAAACTGGTCAACGAAACTCGAACAAACTTTTGTTGACTGAAGCAAAAAAAGAAAAAAGGAAAACAGATATCAAGAAAGAATCTTGTGTTTCTTAAATAAAAACATAAATATTCTCGCCAATTCACGTACTTTACAAACATTTTATATATTTATATGATATTAATTGTATTAATAATAGTAAACAATTAACACCAATATACTTATAAAACACGAATTCCTCTATAAGTATTTCATTTTTTTTCCTAATAAATATAAAAGGGAATTTTGTAAGTTAAAATACAATTTTTCTTTTAATTATAATTTTACAATTTTAAAAATCTTTCCCGTTAGAATTTTACAAAAAAAATATTATTTTAATTATTGTTTTATATTTATTAACAAAACTGATTTATTAAATCACTTAAAATAATATAAAATATATTATTCTAATTATTATAAAAAATATATTATATTAATATAATATATTATATAAAATAGGAGAAATTATTTAGAGTAATTTATATAACTTATTTGAATATGAACAGCATAGAATATTAAAATTGTCGCAAATAAATGTTTGTCGAAGAAAAATTTGTATAAATTAATTTTAAACCTATTTACTATTTTGCATTATTATTTTCAAAAAAGAACTTTATTTTAAATTGTTTTGTTTATTAAAATAAACTAATTAAAATAGTTAAAAGAAATTTTAAATGACGATTTGTTAAAACATTTTTTTTATAAGAATATCGTTTTAAAAAAGTTATATATTTATTGAAATATTTATAAAATTAGTTTTAAAAAAGCATAATTTTTAATTTTGTAAATTTCTTAAATTCCTAGACATGTAGAACAAAAAAAAGACAAATTAAATTTAACTTGCTGATATAAATTGAAATTAATGATTCATGGTGTCTATATAATGATCATTTATGCGATTTGAAATATTTTTGACCCTGAACATCATTTTTACTGATTTAAATTTGTGTCAAAATATTTATTACTTAAAATTGAAATTAATTTCATTTTATCTAAAAATTTCTCCTTATATTAAACTTTACATTCCAAATTTTATTAAAAATTGATTTTTTTAAAAATTATTTAATTTTTTCAAATATTGTTTTTTTTATTATTTTATAATCGTTTAAATTTCTAATTTAATAGTATTAAATTATTTTTAATGTTATAAATGAATTATTTTTCATATAATAAATTTTTTTTTCTTGTTAAAAATTATTTTAAGATTTTTAAATGTTGAGTGAGACATTTTATTTCGATTTAAAATTTAAAGAAATATTGAATTTTAAAGATAAATTACTAAATTGATCATTTCCTAAATTGAAAACTTTTTTTTTCATCTTTTGTGATTTTATAGTTTGGAAAATAACTGTCGATGTATCAGACAATTTGATAGTTATATAGAAAAGTTGAGATGAATGAGCAAGGCGACTTGTTGTGGGCGTTTTAGTCGTGACTTATGTGTCTTTTCTGTCTGAAACTCCGCGAAATAACGTTATAAAGTGATATGTCGTCTGGAGTTTTGCAGATAAACAGATTTGAAATCTACTGTACGCCAAACTGTCGAACAAGTAATTTATAACCAGGATACCACGCCCCCGACAGTAGCTAAAAAATCATTTCAAAATCAGCCTTTTATCGTTCGTCTATATAAATTCCTCCTCCTCCTTAAAAAAAATAAATATGAGACAAAATAAGATAAACATATCTAGACTCGTCATATTCAATCGATCATATACGTGAAAATACACTGAAAACATTTCTTTTCACTTAAGTTGAATTAAAAAAATATTTCATTTATACTTTTTTTAAATTTGTAAATTTATATAAATTTAAAAAAAAGTATGCAAATTATAAAATTTTTTATATTACAAATTTATACTTTCAAATTTTAAGTTCATATTCAAGTGAGGAATAAATTACAAATTTTTCCTAGAAATGAATTATAATGAAAAAATATTTTTAAAAAACAAAAAATTATTTTAAATTCAATTTAAAGAAGGCCAAAAAGATTTAATGTTTCCCAAACGGAAAAAAAGTATTTAAAAATAGAAAAAAAAGCAAATTAATAAGTAACTAAAATAATAAAAATTATTTAGTAACTTCAAAAAAATAATTAGAAACTCATTTTGTCACTTATAGAAAATTTATCAAACACTGCCATATTTTTTAAACAGAAAAAAATATAAATTGATTAATTAGTTGAAACAAATTTTAAGTTTAAGAAAAACACAATTAATTAATCGGGCAATCAAAATAATGCCACGTTAAATTTACTTAACGAAGTTTTAAAAAAATCCTTGTATTGTTGAATTAGAAAAAAAAACATTGAGTACTGTTATTCTTTCCAAATAATAATTGTATGATCTTCCTTATGAATAATGATTAAGAAAAGAAGAAAAAAAAACCTCTGTAAGTGTATACAAAATTTCACGAAAAATCGTGATAATTTATACCTCGAGATTATAAAAAATTAGAGAGAGAAAAATAAATCAATCGCCTCTATACAATATTGTGATTAGCTTGCTTAAAAATCTATTTAAGTGTATTCGTTGTATAATGTGGTGTAATAAATGTGATTAGTTTGAGAAATAAATTATGAATAACATCTATGAATTTTTGTTCATTACTGCAAACACATTTAGATTAAAAATTTATATAATTTTTAAACTAAGAAAATAAATAATAAAAATAAGAAATTTATTTAAAAAATAATTTTAAGTAATTTATTTTTAAATGAAAATAATTTTTCCCCTAATTGTATAAATTGTTTTTTTTAAATAGATGCTGGAATAAAAACGAATTTAAATTTTAACGCAGTTCTAAGGAAATTTATTTTTGTTTAGAGAAAAAAAAGAAGTAACAAATTTTTTTAAATTAAATACATAACTAACGGGGAAATATCTCCCAGAAGAGTGTAATAACAACGATTTATATAATACACTTTTTTTTTCTTTCACTTGTAGAATCTCAACGAGACTTGAAAATAAAATTTCTCATATCGCTCTAATGAAAGATTAGCTAAATTTTAAAAATGGATTTTTTTAAATTAGTAGATGCTCATAGATCAGACCTCACACCTACTCCGGGACCAGGAGGTGGACTAGTTAATGATGTAAGTCCACCTGCAGGTTCTGCTGCAAATCGTGTTACATTTTGTGGTCCAGGTGCTGGTCTCTCACCTTTCTTGAGTGCGTTTATTATCGCTTTAGTACTCTCCGCGGTAAGATCCTCCTGAGTGTCGAAAAAAATTAAATTTCATTATTAAATAAATATAATTAACATATAATACATATTAATTATTAATAGTAAAAAAGTTTTTTTTTTGCTCACATAGTAATCATCGTTAACTTGTAGCATTGGAGCATTAGCGCAAGCACCAAGACATTCAACTTCGGAGATGGTGAATAATTTATCTGAGGAAGTGGCACCAACTTTGCAATTTGTTGCTTCGCACACAGCATTTAAAATTGTATCAGAATCTCTTAACCAACATGGTGTACATGTACAAACTTGCACATGATATTTTCCCATTGGTCGACGATTGAACATGGTGTAAAATGTTGCAACCTCATAAACACGCATATTTGATACGCCAATAATATCGGCAACTTTGTGCATCGCTGAAATTGGTAACCAACCATGTTGACGTTGAGCTAAATCCAATAATGGAATCATTGCACCACGCTTATGACCCTCAGGATAAATTTTTAGCAAAGCATCAATACGTTTCTGGTTCTCTGCATTAAATTCAAATGGAATATTTGGATTGTCTTCCTCACTATCTCTATGCTATAAAAAAAATTCAATCTCTTCATTCTAAGACTTAATATTTTAATAGTAAATAAATAAATATCTAAAATAATAAAAAATTGAATTCTTAAAAATAAAACATTTAAAAAATATATAATACTATAATAAAATTATTGCCTATACGAATTATTTCTAATTATATTAATTAAATTATAAATAAAATATTTTTAAAATATACATCGTTAAAAATATATATAAATTAAAATTATTTCCGATTCTTGGGTAACATTGTGCAATATTTATAAATATAAAACGAAAAATTTTAAAATGACGTCTACTAAACAAGAAAATTGTAAATATCAATAATAATAATAATAGGAAAAGTAAAAATAACCATTATTGAAATTTAATAAATAAAAAAGATGTAGTAGAACAATTAACAAGGTTTCGTAAACAATGTATCAACAAAGAAATTTATTATTCTTTTATCAAACTTACCACAAACAATTGGTCAGAACTGCGAGACACTGTTGACTGAAGACCTCGAATATTCTTTAAAGTCTATGAAAATATACATTTTTAAAATAAAAAATATAAATATTTAAAAAAATAATAATATAGAACATTGATTATTTGAGGTTACATAATGTTCAACATTATTTTTATTATAAATGTTTCTTAGAACTTACCAGTAGACTACAAGATTTTCGTAAAGACGTCAACATTTTGACACTTCTTTCGACTGTACCAGATGTTAATTTATTTATTTATTTATAATTAGAAGAAGAAAAACTAAATAAATTTCCTAAAACATATACGTCATATTTAAGGTTAGGGTAGTTAACACCGCACATGCGCAGTTTTTCCTAACTTGAGCGGAAGTTGAGTAAAAAGTTTTAGCTTCATGGTTGGCAGACCTGCATTTCCCAGTAGTCATTGCGATCACCAGTCGCGCATGTCGAATGAAAAAATTGTGTTCCCTCCATTTTTGTCGCAAAATTATTCCATCTTTTTAATAGTTTAATTTACTTTTGTGCTAAAAAAGTGAATATTAGTGTTCTGTTGTGAAATTCGTTAAATATTTGGTATCGAAAGTGTTAAATTTAAGGCAGAAAAGTACTATACTTCTATAGCCCGCGGCATCGGATTTGCAGCAAGCTCTATTATTGATTTTATTTCGTCTTGCAAACAGAATATTAGATATTTTTTTCAAAATAACAGGAATATTTCATCTAAATAAAAAATTTAAGAATATAAGTCGTATAATTTTTTTTTATGAGTGTAAATTCAAGTTTGCTGCACATTTTAAGGTTAGGTTGAGTTTCAAAAGTAAAATCCGGTAAAATTTTTCAAATTTCGCGCAGTCGTAGTCGCCATCTATGAATTTTAATTTGAATTTCCTACCTATTTCTTGATTATTTAAAGCAAATTTAAAGACAGGATGTTTGACACTAAATTTTTAAGAAACAAGTTATTTTACAAGTATTTAATTCAAATTTAATTGTTTTTAATATTTAGAAAGTTTTTTTTTGTATATTGTGAAGTGTTTGTGCCAGTAAAAATTCAAGAAAATGCAAAACCTATTGTGGATTGAGAACAAAAAATTGGATCCAAAAAAACTCAGATATTTTCAACGATTCCGGTGAGTACATTTTGATTAAATATTCTCATAATTCTCATTAAATTTCTCATAAGAAATTTTTAATATGTCAAAAATAATTGCTATTAATTTTTTCAATTAACATTGCAAATAATTAAGGTGTGGTTAATGAAATAAAAAGGGCAAATACAACGTATAACCTATTTATTATTTACAAGAACGCACCAAATTTTTTTCGATAGTTTTATATCACACTGTTTTTCAAAACAACATAAAAGTTGATGATTATATTCTAATCAAATACAAGCATCGATCATAATTTACAATCGTAAATCACTTTCAGCACCAATTTCAAGTTTTTTTTTACAATAAATTCGTATCTTGTTTTTAACGCACAAATATTCTTTTTAATTAAATTATACCACACACATATAACAATTTCTTTTTTATCCATTCTTTGTAAGCATATTTTTTAAACAAAACTAAATTGAAATTATAAAATTCATATATTTTATTATATATTGAATAATATTGACATCAGAAATTTTTTTTCATTTTTTTGAACAATATTAGACAATATCGAAAATATATTAAAAAATAATACATATATTTATCAAATAATTTGAATACTTTAGGAGAAAATTCATAATTAATTACATTTTTTAGTTCATTTGAGTTATTTATAATCGATTTATTCAATAATCAAAGTTTTACAATTAGTGAAAAATACTTATATATTTCTCTCTAAAAAGCGAACTTCGAATGAGAGAGATGTGAAATATTTACATTTACTATATGGACGACACTATTCTTATATAATTTCATTTTTGTTTGGAATAATGCTCGAAAATAAAAAAGAAAGGGTATTAAATTTAAAACGCAGATATTTTTTTTCTAATCCACATGAAACACTTTTTTTAATATTACATAAAATTACATTCTTAGCACACATACTCATACTTACATACATTATATACCAGCGCAACACGTTCAACGTGATGCGAAAACAAAAATATTAAACTCTCAATTTTTACTATACAACATTTTTTAATTACGGTAGTACGGATCATCATCAATTGAGATAGATTTTTTTTCAAAAAGAAGCGAGAATAATTTTTATTAACATATATATAAAGATTTTCGGAAAAAAGGGGATTTTAGAATTTTTTATATATTTCAAAAAAATTGAAAATTGAACGAAATTAATTAATGAATTAATATTCAATTTTTTAAAATATTGACAACTTTAAAGGATTTTTAATTTCTTAATACTGAAATAATATTTTAATATGGTACCTCTCAGGAATTCATGCTTTTCTCGAAAAATAATTTATTATAATCTTGAAAATATTTTATTTTCTAGACTGTAATAAAATTTTCTAAACATTTTCCTTTTGTTTGAATAGAAAGTGGTTGACTATTTTTTTTTGTAGGCTAGTGGGTGAAACATTTGACCCTTAAAATCAGTAAAAATTTAAATAAATTACAGATAAAATAAATAATAAATAAAATGACTAGAAAATTTGAGAAATTATCAATTTTTAAATTTTACTTTTAAAAATTGTAGTTAAAAAATTAATTTGATTTAATTAATTTTAAATTAAATTAAGAAAAAATTAATATTTTTTATCTACATAAACATAATTTTAAATATTTCATTTGTATTTTTTAATAAATTGATGTAAATTGCTCAATTTCTTCTCTGCTTTTTACACTTTGCAAACAATGCTTTGATTCTAAAATTCTTTTTTTGTTTTTTTTTTATCTCGCATCCGTAATTTTTACAATAAACATTTTTATAATAATTACATAAGCACAATACTTTAGCGTGTATTCAATACACGCTGACAAAAGACAGCTGGTGAACAATGACCAGCTGTCAAAGACAAATATAATGTACAAATATATTATATATTACAATATATAAGACAATAATTGTTTTTGAAAGCCCATTGAATAGTCTGTTATTCTCAAAAAGAGCTATTAATAATTTTAAACAACTAAAAAAAACAAAATATTTCCTTTGTTAAAAATAATTGCTTTTTTATAAATAATTTATTGTCAGCTCAAATATATTTTATCGTGCGCGAATACTTTTATAATCAATGGGCAATTTCACAAATAATATATTATATAAAAAGAAAATACATTTCTATATAAATAAAAATATACAATAAAATGTCTTTATAGGAAAAGAAAAAATTATCCATTTGACAATATTCTTGGAAACTTTCAATGCTTTGAGAATTTTTCATTAAACTAGAAAAATTGCTCCTTTTTCAAAAGACACTTTCAAATAAAGCTTTTTATTCTTCATTTCTCTTTCGTACTTTCGATTCTTTTCCTCGTGCTTTTTTTTCACAATATAATATATATATATACTTTCAATTCTCACGTTTTCCAGAGCGTAGATAACGAAGTTTTTTTATTAACCATTTTTTTCCTTCTGTTCGAATAAAAATCTTCAAATATTAACACTTACATAATCACTGCAGCAAAATCGTACACAGACGAAAAAGTTTATTAAAATCTCGCCTGCGAGAACAAAAATTGCTAATATTGTTTCAAGTACAAATATTATATAGTTTCACTACCTAATTTTATTAATAATACAACTAGCCTTATTTGTGGCTGTGTATAACATTTCGCTTGGTTTTTTAATAACCTTTCAAATAAAAATCCCAATAGACTCATATTTACATTTTTTTAATAATTATAAGTCTCGATTAAAAATTTTAACAATGTAATTATATATTCAAGTTTTTTGTATATAATTTTATGAGTTTGTTTTATAAAAAATTGCAGCTATTTAAAATTTTTTTTTATTATTTTCCGATTTGAAAAAGATGGATTTTCATTAAAAAGTGTTTTACTATTTTTATTTTTATATATAAAGTTTCCTCTCGTTCAAAAGTAGGTAATAAATTTTAGAAAAATGTGTATATTAAATTTATTTATAGAAATGTATTGAAAAATACTAGAAACTATAAATTTGATAAATATGAGTCTATGTTTCGGATATATATTGGGAAAGGTGTAATTTATTAAATTGAGGTTGGACAATGGACCAGTCGAAGTGTGATGGACGGATATCTGTTTCGAGATGAAGCTTACATTTTGTTTTCAAGTAGTATATGCATCGTCCAATTTTAAAGCACAAACCCTGTCTTGTCATTTTTTTTCCACGTTTATTGAGGGAAAAGATTTGAAAAAATTATTTATTCTCTATTTTGCATAATTGTTATTAATTAAAATTTATTTCAATTATAACAATTACATTTTTTACTCCAATAAATAAATTAAATTAAAAATTAAATTATTTCTATGGAAATAAAATAATGTTTGTAAATAAAATTAATAAACATTATTTTACTGACAAAGGAAATTTCATAAAACTACAGCAAAATTTTTACTGCAACAAAAAATAGTAATTTTTCATCATAAAAATTTTGTTTCTGAAAGAAAAATGAGATTTAAAACAAATTTATATAATTTATATCAAACTGTGATTTGTTTGAAAGTAGTTTTTCAAACTCTGTATGAAGTTGGTGCACGGGAATAAAAAAAAATCGTTTGAAATTTATGAATAATCCAATCAAATCTTTCTCAATAATACGTGTACATTTACGAAAAGACGGAAAACCTATAAAATACAGATATATGGTCCAGAAAATAAGATGTACGAGACCAAAGGATGAATTTACGATCCAATGCACGTGGTAGTAGTAAAATTGTGTGGGGGTCACGTGACTTCTATACATGTATGTGCAGTTTGCATTTGTTTACGTTTACACATTTACAAATTTTATACACGTTTTTTCGAACGCTATATTACGTAACATTTTATACGGATGAACAGACGACCTCGTTGCACGTGCATTCACAAATTCAATTATAATTTTTATTTATATAATATATCTTTTTTTTTAATTTTGTATATATGTATAATATAATTTTTTATATAATATATTATATTTATATATACATCTATATATGAATATAAAAGTAACATTGTAACGAACAATAAGTCGTATCTTTCTTTGGCACATCTCGTCATCTAATAAGTGTTGATGCCAGTGCACTTTTTTTTTACTATTGCGCACCTTTTTTTCGTGAAAGTGCCGTGCACTCGCAAACTCAATATCTATATATACACAATTTTTTTTCTATTTTTTGGTTATGTATAAATTTTAGTTTTTTTTCAATGGTATTAATTTTTGTCTACACATATACATTTACTTTCCTCTTATATAGTGTGTCGAGTGCGTTGACTTTTTTTTGCCTAGCTCTAAAAAAAATTCAACGAGAAAACATAATTTTCCCACATTTTAACCATTCACGGAATATTTATATAAAGCTGGACCAAAAATTCACACTCTTAAAATTTGAATTTAAAAATTGAATTTAAATTTTAATAAATGGCAGATAATTTTACATTCGTTTGTTTCGAGGATAAATTTTTAGTTCAGTTCAAATTTAAAAGCGAATATGAAAAAAATTCGAAAACTTTTGCTTTGATTCTTTTTTTTGGTTTGAGATTTTATTTATTAATGTTATGGAAAATTATGAAAAAATTAAGATCGTAGTTCTCTCAGTTCGTGTAAATATTTTATTATATTTCAATAAATATTAATTATTAGAATATAATACAGTGCAATAATTTATATTAATAACTTTTTATATTCGCTTTTTAAACATCATTCACTACATAGTTACGTTTCGAAATTTCTGCAAAATAATTTCATTAATTTTTTTTCACATATTGGATGGAATATTCCTTGAAATTTGTTTAGTTTTTTTTTGTATTTTTATTAAGTAACATTATCTATAAATTAGTCATTTAGTCAACTTTACTATAAATAATTGCAAAAACTTTAACAAAAAAACTCCTTTATTATATTTATGATTTTATTTTTATAATTTTTTAAGTGTATTTTACATCATTTAATTTATAATTATTTTTATATAATTTCATTTTTAATTATTTAATAATTTCATTTTTTATTATTTTATATAATTTCATTTGTTAATTTATATTTTCATTTCTGATTACATTGTTATTTCATTTGTTTTACAAAAAAAATATGTACGTTAAACCAAGAAAACGTAACCTCATAATTTTTTTTAACTACACTCTTTTCAATATATCTGAATTTGACATCACCTATAAAATCTATTTTTTAAATGAATTTATCCACGAACAAGGCACTGCACGACAGAAAGATTTATATTGCTGACTTCAATCTCTCAAATAAATTCTTTTTTTTGAAACCAAATAAAAAATTGACCTAATTTATTTTTAAATAATTTCAGAGTTTTTTTAAATGTCAGTGTTGTTAAAGACTCTTAAAATTATTTTGTAATTTAAACAATTTATATTTTTTTCCTCAATTCTATAAAATTACTTTTTTTCGAAAAGAGAATTTGTTTTTTGAATCAAAGAATCGTATAAATTCTAAATAAATAATAAAACAAATAACAAAATAAATAATCGATTTAGTTTTTACTGAAAATTAATTTGAGCGATTGAAGATCCAGCAACAAAAACCAGGAAAGACGATTTAATTTCTAGATGGACAGGTGTCGATTGCATTTGGCAAAGGATTACATTTCTTTTGACAGCTACAATGCAGCGTGTAATTGAATCATTTTTATAAAAATCGGTCAGTTTCTTTAGAGTGACAAAAAAATTTGACTTTTAAAAAAATGTCTATTAAAAGACAATCTTTTTTTCTAAAAATTAGTTGTCATTTTTTTTAATTTAAGAAACAATTTTTTAATTTATTTAGTGCATTAAAAATTTGTTTCCTTTTTTTCGACATTTTTTTGTTTCTGTTCTATTTTATTTCAAAAATTTCATTACCAAAAAAAACACACATCTCAAAAGAGTAAATTGACCAATTAATATAGCGAATGATGATTCGTATATCTTTCTATAAAAAATTCAAAAGAAACTTTTCACAAATAAATGTTAGAGATGAAACTCGACTCTTGGGGGGTTTAATTTTAGAATCTTGTGCCAAAATGTCGTGACTTTCTTTACACTACATAAATAGAAAAGTGGTCCAAAAGCTTGTTCCGTAAAGATAACCAGATCAGTTGGTCTTTTCAGAGTTCGTTATATATATGTGTATATATCGCTGATCAGTCGATTGATCGAGTCACAATATAAATCACGGAACAAACGATTATAATTGAAAGCCGCAGTTAAAACTTAGCCTTCGCCTTGTGCGTTAACGTTATAAGGGGAAGCACTTGGTTTTTTTCTGTACGATAATCGATTTGCAATCCGTTTTATCTAACGTGAAACTTTCCTGTTTCAATGAATCTTCTACGGATATTCGACCCAAACGTTTTTTCATTCGAAACGGCGTTGTTCTTGGTGAAATAATTTCATAGGCATCACTCGTACGACCCTGAGGTGGTAATTTTTTCTTTGGACTTGATTTTAATTCCAAAGAATTACCAGCATCCACCTCTAAACAATGATTTGATTTTAATTTTGACTCTGTTACGAATATATTATTGGTTTTTTTATCATGTTCATCGGGAGTATTGAAAACTTCAGAACAACTGCTTTTTGAATCGAGATTCTCAACTTCTTCAGTATCGGAAAGAAGACTTTTAGTTGAAGCTAGTGAAATTGCACGAGTACTGGGTTTATGAGATTTTTCATCATCAGCAAAATCAAGTGATAGACATCTTTTTTCAAAGAGTGCAGAATGTTTTTCATCTAGCGAGTTTTCCTTTTTCTTTTTCTCGAGGGAAAATTGATCCATAACTTCGGAATTTAGTCGCGACGGTCTTCGAATACTATTCTCCCGTTCGATCGAGAGACAAAATTCTTTATCTGTTAAGAGAATTTTCTTGGGAATTTTTGTTACATCCTTCAGTTTCTCAAGATCATAATCTTTTTCCGTTGAGGGAGTTTTTAGGAGACTTTTAACTTTTCTCAATTCTGTTAAAAGATCCATTGTCTCTTGAGACGGTTCATGTGGAATTTTTGGCTTAGTTCGTTTAAAGGAAGTATTTGTATCAGATTCATGATCACTTTGATGATCCACTCCCTCTTGTTTTCTCAATACGGATCTCACTGTTCCTCTTCGTACTTGGAGCTTTGGTTTTTCTTCAACTCCTTTTTCCAATTCCTTGTCATCAGAACTTTTCGATTTCTCCAGATCTCGTATCTTATCGGAGGATTCGATTTTATTTCTTTCGGTGTCAATTTTGTTTCTCTCCAAACATTCGAAACGGTTTTTATCGCCTTTTAGAGAATCGCTAACATCGTACGTTGGTGATATAGTTTTCTCGTGAGCAATAACTTTACGAAGCATAGCTGACGCAGGAAAATGACCTTTGGTGCGTTGTTTAAATTCCACATAGGTTTCGGTGGGTATCTCCTGTAATTCGAATTTATCATGTAATTGTTTGAAATTTTCTTTACCTAAAAATTCCGTTTGTGTTGAATCCTGAAGGGATTCAGTTGGAAGTTCAAGGGAAGATTTGCATTCTTGATTTTGAAGTCTAAGAGACGATGATGAAGGTGTTATTATGACAGTTTCTCGAGACATTTTGAGATTATCTGATGAGATGCCCCATCTTTCGATTTGTGTATGGGTGTTACTTTTCTTATCGAGAATATCTTCTGAAATTTGTCGTCTTGTTTTTGAGGGTGAAAATTCGAGATTTTTTATGAAACCAACATCAGTTTGTTTGAAGTTGCGTCGTTCGGGAGAGACTGAGGAAATGGCCCGTTTAGTCGGTGAATTTGGTGTGCTCTCGTCACTTGGAATAATTTCTTTTGAATCTGGATTTTCTAGTCGACGGCGAGCTAGAATTTTAGGCGTTGATGTAATCCTTTTGGCCCAGTGTTTACGTCTGGGTGAGTATTCCCATGAAGTAACTTCGGCCGGAGAACTTAGGCACGTGGTGGATGAAACGATTTCCTCGCTTGTGGTAACTCGACATTTGACAAGTTCCACTGCGCTGGTCGACAGGGGTTTTAGCTTTGAATTACCCTTAATGGAAGGCGTTTCTATGTGTGACATACTACTGGGTCCAGCGTCGAGAACATCGTTCAAAGACGCTCCACGAAGAGGATCACGATGACTCTTGAGAGGAGCGGCTTCATCAAGATCTTCCGTCTCGAAGGAATACATTTTTGATAAATAGGCCTTGCCAGAACGTCTTCTTTCGGGAAAGCTTTTGGTGTCTCCCCTGGATTTCACGACATGTTCTTGTTTTTCAAAACTTTTTGATGATTGTTCAGCACATTCTTGCTTCTTGCGTTCTATTCTCGGCGTATCGAAAGTGAATTTATCTAAAGTCCTGGAGGAACCGATGTGGTCCAAGAAGGGTCTTTCCACAGCTCTACTTGGTCCGATTTTCTCCAAATATGGCTTGCCAATGATCTTTGGTGCTAAAATACTGAGGAATGGCCGATCTTCCGTTTTGGAAATGCCAATTTTTCGGAGGAAAGGTCTTTTCTTCTCTTTCTCTTTGGTGTTCTCCATGGATCTCTCGCTGAGACGATCGTTGCTGTAGTTTGATGAATTGTCGCTACTTTTAGATCGAGCGCGCTTATTTCTTGGATATGGGGTCAAGGGAGTACGTGGGGTGAGTGAAGGACTGGCTTCTGGATTGGGACAAGTCTCATCTAAAAGAGCAATTGCATCTCTAATGTCCATACACGCTTTTCTAGGCAATGTTGACGATGGTCTTGACTGATCGTTTTCCATACTGCTGTTTCTTGTAGAAGCTAATTCCGGCTTGATGGTATCTCTCCCGTTTTGTGATTGTGAGGGGTACGAGCTCTGATCGCCAGGACCAGGTAGTGAGTCCGTTGAATAGTCTTCAAAGTACCATGGCGTAACGCCAAGGTCCTCGGGCCTCAATGCTGGACTTTGTGGTACCGATTTTTTTGAAATGGCACCCTTACCCTGATCAACTGACGCGGTTGTTCCTCTGGAGGTTTGTGTTCCGTTCGAATGTGTCAAATGTCTGCGATACGTTGAACACGTGGCAAAGTGCGGCTGTGCCGGTCTTGCTGATTCAGTAACGACGCGACCTTGAGCGCAGGGTACAACCGGCTCCCCATCAGCAGGGGCCTCTTCCGGTGTCAGGGGCAAGGCCACCCCGCGGCCAAATTCGATGAACCATAGCTCGTCCCTCAACTCGCTTTCTCACTTTTTTTCGTTCATATCCTTGTTCAAGTAGTGCAACACATAATGCAACACCAAATCATAGCAGTACTTGTATTCAGTCTGAAACAGAAGTATTATTATTTTATTAGAATCATATTTTTGTTTGAAGTTTGTAAAAAATTATCAAAGCAGTTTAATTTTGAATTTCGGGTATTTTTTAATTTATGGGAATTATGCTGGAAGTTGAGTATGTAAATTATGAGATGAAACTTAATGTTGTAATACAGTAGGTGAGAATAAATGATTGTAGGATGTTTCAAAGGTGAAATAGTTTGTATTAATTAGACTCAAAGATAAACAAAAGTTTCGGAGTGTGGTCAAGACTATATAGTTTATGGTAACCAAGTAAACACAAACTTCTATTGAAGCTACAACTAAGTTGACGAAGAGTACTAAGAGTTCTCCGTAGAGTAACGAGTGAAGTTTCACAAAAGTTGAAATCAAAACTGACTTCACATTACAAATTTAACCTAGAAAACTAAGTATTATTTATCAAGTTATAGGCATTACATTTTTAAAAAGGGATTTTAATTTATAATTCAACGTAATTAATTTAAAAATCAAATTTAGTAACCAATACTTACCGACGGTAGTACAAATCTCGGTAATTCAGAAATCTAATTTTAAATTTCAGTCAAGTTTGAAAAAAAAATTGTTAAGGCATTTAGTTTATATTTGGAATAGGGGAATACTATAAAAATTTTTGAAAATTACACTTATAGTTTTCGAGAAACAATAGCGAAAGTTTCGAAACGACATTGTCGGTTCAAAAAACAATAAAACGTTCACATAAGACAGATAATAAACAATTTCATAGACAAAATTACCATATTTTCCACGAGTTGAGGTCGATGCCTGCGGACAGTTTTAACTGCTTGGAAAATGTCAACTTCGCCATGTTGAATAACTTGCTCGATGCAGGCATTGGCTGCACAATAAACTCCCACACGACTTCTACCATCGGGTGAAACAACTGCAACTGGTCCATAAACTGTCCTTTGCCTCCATCTCTCCACCATATTCATCAATTCAACAAGACTATTTGTAGACGTTGGGACTTTATGTCCCATTGGCCAACAAGTCAATTGAAAGAGTTGCACAGTCTTTGGAGGTGCTTTTACACCTGCCATTAATTCCGTTAAAGACACAATTTTCTTGTTTATCCTAAAGACCTAAGAATATAAACCATTTTTCAATAAATACATTATTTATTACTTTATTTATTTAGAAAAAATTAAAGAATCTTGTAAATTATTATCTAATATACCCAAGTTTTAATGTTGGTGTAATGATTGTGACTGATGTGATCTATCGTGAAAACTGGTCCATATTTCTTGGAATGTCTACCCTCTGGCCAAAATGTGGGAAAATTAGTTGATCCCTGAGGTGGTACACATAAAACCACGACTGCCGCGCATTCATAATCGTAAACCAAAGACCAAAATTCACCACACGTGTGACGAAGTGGCCATTCTGTAACGATATATTCTCGTGGTTTTGTGTAACCCTGAAAAGGAGACAATGTTCTTGTCAAATAATTCAATGCATTTCTATTTCTATTAATTAATAATCTCAAAATTTTTATTTCTAACATTTTTAACGAAGGTTTTATCATTTAAAAATTATCATTCGTTTTGTAAGAATTTTGCTGTAGTTTTTAGTAAATTGTAGCGTGAAGAACCAATAAAAATGGTTGCTAATATGTTACTTGTCCTCCGGAATATATGATAAATATTTTAAATTTACCTTACTCTTAAAAGACAAAAACTTTTTAATTATTTGAATATCACTTAAAACATTTCAAAAATGTACAATTCAAAATATTTCAATATCCATTATTCATAGACGTTTTTATAATACTGAGAGACGATAAGAGGATTATGTAAAGAGCTGAAAAAAATTCGAAATAAAATGTGCAGAGAACTTTGTTTGTCAGCAATAATAAAAAAAGAGGGTGCGACTTGAGATGATATAAAATGGGTCAAGATTATACTCACGTCAACGAAGACGGCATTTATGTAGTCGGTATAAATATTCCCCTGAAAACTTTGAAGATATGGTCGGAAGTTGTCAGCTGTAGAGATAAGATGCAAAAATAGTTAATTTAAGAAAAAAAAAATTTTTTCTTTTAATTAAGTATTTTCTAAATTAAGTATTCTACAAGAAATGATGCGATTTTTAGTAAAAAATGTGAAACTTACGTGGTACGACAAGTACATCTCTATTTTTCTCTCTATTGTCTGCACGATGTCCACCAGCGCAATCACCTATTGTAAATCGTGGTGTTTGCTTGCATATTTGCTGATATTCCCTCTGGTATTCATTCATCTTGGTTATCGGATTTTTTATACTCTTCTGCTTCAAACGTTGCGACAGTTCTGAGACTGGAAACCACGACGCACCACATATCACAAACTCCTCCAAGGTGTCGTATATAAATTTGTACTGATCCTGTATATTAGAAACAAAATCACAGATGAGATTTTTTTTGCAACTTGAAAAATAATAAAAATAGGTTAAAATGATTATATAAAAATGGGAGAGAAAAATTTTTAAACATAGATATCATTTATCAAGAATCTCATATTAAATTTTTTTGCTTAAAATTTGATATTAAATGGACAATTTAAAATTAAATGAGAGAAAGCTTTTAGTTAGTTGAAACAAGAGGATGATAAAATTATAAAGGCTTTTGAAGTTCAGAATGTTTCGATGTAAAATTAGAGTAAAATTTTTATTAAATTATTAAAATTTAATACAAGTGTCTATACTGTTTTATAAACAAATATTCTTTAATTAACGGATTAGCTATGGTTATTGTATATATACCATACCAGATTTTCAATTAATCCCTTTCGACTTTTTTTAAGCTTCTTTAAATAGCCAAACACGTCAAATGTATCTTCTTCCTCGGCGAGTTCCATATTTGCATCTATCGCTAAATAAACTCCTGACCTTCCACCCCCGTCGCTAAAAAATCAAAAATTAATTCTTAGAATTCACTAATTCTTTTATTTTCTACTCGTTTTAATTTTTGTAAATTTTGTATTTATTTTTTAATCTTGTTTTATGAAACGTACTTGCAATGAACAATCATTGGACCGGTTTCATTTTTTATCGTTGAACCAACAACAGATCTAACACGTCTACGAAATTCTAGAACTGCATTTCCAAAAGGACACGTATGCGAGTGCCATTCCGTGTAGTGAAATTGAAGTAAAGTTCTCTCTTCCGTAACTTCCTGAAAGAATAATGTCAGTGATAAAATAGCATCTCTGTGTGTTACGCATACATAAGAATCGATGTGGATTCTATCGATTTCCTTCCCTCCCCCCTCTGAATAACCACAGCGCTAACTGTAATGAACAATAAAGCAGCTTATCTTTCCGCAATATGATATATATCTATATATTGGTCTGTAATATTCTCGCCAAGATGAAAAGTTAGCCTTGAATCTTATAAATTAGTAATCCAATTATTTTCTAATTAGATCCTATAGTAAACCCTCGATAAAGTTGCTAACAATAGAATTTTGATAGCAGTTTTTTATCTTAATATCAGTTTTTAAAAAGTTTTAAACTATTATTATAATAAATACAACCTTACGAATGTAATCAAGGTTTGTGATAAAAAAATTTACATAACGCTGCAAACTATTGAAAACTACATTTAATATTAACAGTAAACTAAAATAACAATATGCCAAAGTTTTATTAGGCTGAAAATCGCTAAAAGAACAAAAGAAATTCTACGTCATAAAATAACCTTGTTTAGTAATACTCAAAACTGTAGAGAAAATTGATCTCTATTCCCAGGAGATGTGCTCAGAGCGACTCGACGAATCGAAGATTGACCGCTCAGCTGTGAACGGCCGATATTTATACTATACCCAAGGTGCACAAGCGTGTGATGGAGGGGGAACTCGGTCCCTCTGTCTCGAGGGACCGAGTGCCCCCTCCATCACACATTCATGCGCGCGCATTTATACCCAAGGCGCTTCGGATATAAATATCGGTCGTTCACAAAAAACGGCCACTCTTCGATTCAAGTCAAAAATTGGCAACGAAATTCGCAAAACATGTTTATTTAATTTAAATAAAAAATATTTGGTTTAAGTAAATATTTATTTGATAATAGTCAAGTAACCGATTATTTAAAGCAAATAGATTTTTTTTAATGTATCATTTTGATTGTTAAGTAAAAAATTTTATCTTATTAAAGTATAAACATTGAAAAATAATTATAAATTAATTAAACTTTTAACATTATATATTCTCTAAATTTTATTCACAAATTCATGTCATAAACTTTAATTCTATTACACATTAATTAAATTTCAAATTACTTAAAAGTTTAAAGAAGATTGTTTCAAGTTTTAAAAAGTTTGCGAATAAATTTAAAAAGTCAAGGAATTATATTTTTTATCAATGAAAAGAGAAAACAATTAAAATTGTCAATAATATTTTTACCATCATATATAAAAGAAAGAATATCTTATAAAAAGTAGTTTTGTTTTGTTAAAAAAAAGAAAAGAATAATGAACTTGTGTGATTTGTATCACTGAAAGAATACATCCAATTGAGGATCAAATTGCGCGCGACTTTTATTTTCCCGCGCGCAAAACTTTTACGATGTCTTAACTAGTTAAATCAACAGCCTTATCATTTTGCAATCTGAAAGTTATACAAGTTACAAAACAGCTGCAGTTAGACTTGCATACTTGTATAAATAATTCTTCTAACTTTCCGACAACTCAGCAGAAACTTTAAAATTCTTGGGGAGGGGCCATGAGAGAGATGCTTTCTTTTATATATATATATATTGAGAGTTTGTGAGAGAGTTTTGACTTTACATGAAAGTTTTCATAGTCATGACGACCCTTCTTTTTTTTGTTGTTAATATTATATAGAAGCTTAATGATATGTACAAGAAAGTGGTACGCAATATTTAAGACAGAAACTGAAACCTTTATATGAAAAGAATTTTTCTCTCTTCTTCTCGTTGAGTATTCAGCTTTTTAGATCTGTTACATTCAACTCTATTCAGGAAGTTTAAATCGAAAAAAGGTAGCAAGGTCGCAAAGAAGAAGTTGTTTAAAGACTTGCCAGTTTCAGATCTTGATTTACTCTCGCGAGCACAAGCTTTAAGACATCAGTCAAGAACATATTTTTTCGGAACTCAAAAATTCCAAGCTTCTCTCTCTCTCTCTTTTTTTCTTTTTCTTTTGCCACGTTATTCACGGAGGTAAAATTTATCTCCTTAGCTCTTTAAATTTAAATAAATCTCTCTTTTTTTTATAGTTCGTGAGAAAATTTAATTTCTGATCCACTATATACTGAATAATAAATTTTTGTCTTTACTTAAATTTTTTCCCTTTTAAATTTTTATACCATAACGAAAATTGCAATTTTTAAAGTAAAATAAAAACTGAGGTCATTTTGCAATCCGGAATTGGTATATTTTTTTTCTCTTTTTTATTCAAACAAAAATTGGTTATGGGAAATATTCTCTCTCACTAAAGCCAAATTCTTCTTGGCAAAACTTTCCGTTTTAATAATTCGAACGGAAATGGAAAGAAATAAAAAACAACTTTTGATATCCTACTTTTTTTTATTCTTTATTTAAATCGAACTTATTTTCTCTACTTTTTAAAACTTGTCTCTGGATTTTTATTATATACAAAAAAAAGTGAAAAGTTTGTGGAAGTAGTTTCTTATTTATAATTCTCTAAAAAAAAAAATATTTCTGATTTTACTAAATTATAATATTAATTTAGTTTTGTTTTTCTATTTCATTTTTATTTTAAATATATATGTTCAAGAGAGACTAAACTCGAACTGTCTCCTACAGTTTGGAAATGCTGCGCGTATTTCTGAAACAACCAAATTGAATTTACTCCGTAATAAAATATGCAAACAATGTTTAATAGACTCTCGTGTGCAGTATTTGGCTCAAGATTTCTCTTGGGAATAGTTTCAACACAGTTTCTACAAGCGTTTCAACTTTTTAAATGCTATTTACTTTGCATTTTGAATTACTTCATTTTTATTTAACTCATCTATATTACTGTGAAAATCAAAAAACTTTTATTATTAGAATTTAATATTTTAAAATTTTTCAACTTACTCCATTTTCATCCTTTTTGTAAAGCCTTATTGTTCTTATGTGAAAATTAGCCAATTCCTCAACTTTTAGTACCGAAACTCCGATTCCACCATATTCTTCATTTTTTTCTTTATTTGGCGGCCAATATTGAACACACATTACCTGAAATTCAAAATTTTTATTAATTTTTTTTAACAATTTGAACTTTTTAAGATTCTAACTTTTAGAAAAAAGAAAATAAGAAAAATATAACCTCCTTTGATAATTTAGATTTAAGTGGGTCAAAACTTCCCCTTAATATCTGATAGTTTACTGTGTATTAAATTACATATTGTTGATTAGGACGAAGTGTACCAATTACTGCGTATGCTTCAATCGCTGCAGGGTTTCATTGAGTAGATAAAATATAATAGATTATTTTTTTTATTTTATTTTTTATCGGATTATTTTTAGTTAAACTATTTGTTGTTTTAGGCAATGAATTTACAACAACAAAAAAAATAAAAAAATCGTGTTATCTTTAAATGGAAAATGCAGTTAACCACGTTTTGCCACTTTTCTTAATCTGGGAATGTCGTTGACTATCCTTAATGAAAAATAACGCTCGGTTGCCAGGTTTCACTACTCTCCTCTTATACTAGACCAAAAATAATGTTCGGCCCAATATTCCAACGCGCTTTCCCTCGGCAAAATTCTCTTTCTCTCTCTCATTGTCGCATTAAGGAAACAAATGAAGTCGTATAAATCTTAAATGTAGATAAGAGGAATAAATCACATTCCCCGCACTCTAAAACTAACGATTGTAATTTGCAATTAAAGCAACTCTTCTGAGACTAAGAACAGTTTTTTTAGAATATGTATAAAAATGAATATAAAAACCTCTCAACGTCTTGGATTTAGTCAGCATTTTAATTAAACAAAATTGAATAAATAATTTTTTCCTAACAAAAATGAATATTTATTTATATTTGCTTTCAATTAAAATTTTTAGGTATTGTGAAATAAAAAATTTAATTAAAAGACAGTTCGATAAATAAGAATTCTTTATAATTGAAATTTTTATATTTAATTTTTTTTTCTCTCAAAGAATGTTTGATTAATTGGAAAATTATTTGTTGAAATAAAGGAGTGTGATTTTGAAGGATGAGAATTCTTTGAAACGTATAAATTTAATGAGCAAAAAAAATTGAGTAGCATTTGATTGATGCCATTAAAGTCGAGAAGTTTAATTGATAAAACATATTGATTGGATGTATAAATATCGTGAGGGGGGAAAAAATTGTGAAAAGCTTTCTCTATTGAAAATGTTTAATGACATAAAAACGACTATAAATTTAATTTTTCATATATATATGTATTTTTTTATATAAATATTGAGCATGCACTACATGCGTCAATTGCGCAATGTTCCGTGTAGATGAAAGTGCAACCACGTGATGCAGATTTGAATCAGCTATAGTGCGACACTTGATTGCAGTGATATTGAGTGGAAAAATTGAATTTCTACTGAAAATGTTGCTTCGAAGACGGCAAATCTAATTTAAAGAAGGGTGGTGGGAAAAAAAATTGCATCTCATTTGAGAATAACAGGCCAATTTAAAAAAATAATTTATTCATTATTATTCCTACGTTGATGGTTTCTTTGTGTCCAACAATAATTTAAGATTCAAATCTTTTTTATTAGTGTTCCATCCACACAGTAGTAAAATTGAAGTTTAGTCAGACAGACTCTCGAATTTTTTTTTGAAAATAGTAGTAAAGATCAGTTTTAGTCAGACGGAAATTTTACGAATAATTTGTAATTAACTTATTGTTAATTAACTTTTTCAATTAATTAATTGTTAATTAACTTTTTTAAATTAATTAATTGTTAATTAATTTCATAATTCGATAATTAAATTTGTCATTCGCATCAATGTTAACTCAATTTTGATAAAGAGAGGATTAAATGAACGATTTATAGAGACCTGACGGAAGTTGACGAGAAAATTTTCGGTAAAGACATTTTGTCACCGTGTGCAGAAATTTGAAGACATCATATTTGAGACTTAAAGTAATTACTTTCGTACAAAGTTTCCGTTTGAGATAGAACTTGCGTGTTTATAGCAAAATTGACCTCCAAAGCTTTCATATGAATACATACATATATACACCACTTTATACTTGATCTTACAGTTTCTCAATAACATTACTTAAGTGAAATTAATGTTTACTCACAACGACGGGTTCAAAAAAAAAAAAAAAATGTAGACACAAAGTTTCGCGCTCCTGAAAATTATTACATTCAATTAACTTTATCTGCAAATAAAAATTTGTTCAATTAAAAATACAATTTTTAAAAATATTAATTATAAATTTAAACTATAAAAAGAATTAAATCTAATTAATATTAATATTAATTAATTGTTTTCTATATTTTCACATAAAATGTCAATATTTTATGTCTGCTTTTTTGTGTTTGCCGTTTCGCTTCTATCTTTTTCCCCGCGTGCTTTTTATTTTATCTTCAATCAGAGAGAACGAATGTCTTTTTTTTTGTCGGTGTAGTTTTTCCCCCCAACCTTATTTTAAGTTTAACGGGAAATTGATTTGAAATGCAGAAAATGAATTTGTTTTTTTTTATTATTATACCTTGATGAAGTCGAATGTTTTTGTGAGCATGACTATGCAGGATGCCTTTTCCTGCCATACCATACGCCAAAATTCAGTTACAGTTTGTTCTGTAGGTCCCTGAGTCACAATGTATGCATTAGGCTTCAATAAACTCTGTAAACAAATTATTATTTGATATATAAATAGTTGTCGTAAGTTGTATATATATATATATATATTTGAAGAAATAATATTCTCTCTTTAAAATTATTTTTGCCCCTTGCAGAAATGGCTTTGTGAAATTTTATTTTTTTGTGTGATTTCATTTTAAATAAATCACACTTTTTACCATTTTTTTATGTTATTCTAACAAATCTTTATAATAGTTTATTAATCCTTTTAAATAATTTATTAAAAAAATCATAAAATAAATTTTTTCAAATTGTTAATACATTAAATAAATTTATTTTATAAATAATAACAGAGGGGTACAATTTCTACATGGGTAATACAAAAGCAAAATTTTGTTGTTATTTTGTATTTGTATGCTCACATCGACGTACGATGCATTTATGTAATCCGAATCAGGCTCGCCTGGTATTGAATCCAGCACCACCCTATTGTAGTCGTCTATAAAAGAAAAAAAATTTTACATTATTAATTTGCTTTATGAACGCGATTTATTATTATTATTATTATTATTTTGCAATTGAAAAAATTAATTTTGCAATTTTTTTGACAATATAAAAATTTTTTTAAATAATGCAAATCGAATAATTTGTCGTATTGAAATTAATGCCATCCACTTTCCACTACATTAAATTTCAACGTCTCGCCTGTCAACGACAGGACTTCATATCGGCCACAAAAAGTTGATTAACATTGTTGACCTAAATTAAACTCTAATGCGTATTATGTCATATTATACTATATAGTTTATATGAGGAGAAAAACAAAATTTCTATATAACAAGCGTTTTATGCAAATTTCTAATAAATATGTAAACTACATCAAAGAATAATAATTATTAAATATATAAAAAAAAACATATATAGAGAGATGACAGATTTTTTTAATTTACGAGAAGCAAACTACATTCCGTTTAATGAAAATTTATGAGCAGTTTATCTTCGTTATGTGAGGTTTTTTTTGGGAAGTACCTTTCAATTATAGTTTTCGAGCATAATAATAATTATTATTATTAACTTTTCAGTTGTTTTACAGATGGAATATAGGGTATATTAATTAAACTTTAAATTATTAAATTTTTTCTAAAATTATTTATTCTACATTTTTTTTTATAATTTTTCTTATAAGGAACAATAACAGAAAATCAATAAATTTATTTTTGTCGCACGCGTAACATAAAAATAAGTAAAAAAAATAAAATTACCTTCCTAATGACTTATTTGTCAATATAGAAACTTATAAGCAGAAAGGCAATCTCAATTTTTTTTATTTATTTACTTTTTTTGAATTATTTACAAGTTCTTTATGAAAGACGCCTATAGTGTTTCTATCATAATAGCGGTTCAAGTTTGTCGTACACCTAGATGCTTTTGTTTTCAAGCATGAATACGTATAAAGTTCCACAACGAGCTAACTACAAAAGGATAACTTAAAGTATAATTGGGTTTTCCTAATTATAGTGTCGCATCTTTTGTTTTACAAAAGTTGAACCAAGTAGTAGAAGAACATGATGTCAGAAAATTGTATTTTGATGTCGCAAAAATAATATATTTCTTGATAAATTATAAAATTAAATTTAAAAAAAAAAAAAATTAATTTTCTCATTTTCATTATATTCTCTTGTCACATAAAAAATAATTTATTAATTTGTGTAACTTACATGGAATACATTTTTGGTTTTGATTCTTTTCTCTATTATTAGGCTTCGTGGCGTGTCTACATTGTTGTGCTTCCGCTGTTTTTATTGCTGTCTGTAACAGAAAAAATTTTTTTTATTTTAAAAAAATGTGATTCTAAAATTTTATAACAATAATTTATTTATTTAACAAATTGACGGGACAACCTCATTCATACATTAGTACTTCTTACAATTAAAAATACAATACAAAAAAGGAAATCTATAAAATTATAATAAATAAAATTGACAAAAAACACGCGGTACGAAACAAAGTGAAGTTTATTTTGAATAGACCTTATTTTCTTTAATTAGAAAAGAAAATATAAAGAAAGTTTTAATAACTCTTGAGAGAGAGAGATAAAAAAAAATTCCAATTTTACAATCCTTAGCGTTGAGCCATAAATCACTTATCATAGGAGGATAAAAGGATCCCTTCATACTGCAAAAAACTAAGAGTATTCTTTTGCCTAAGTTTGTAAAAGTTATCCGTCGCCGCTTGAAGAATAGAGTTATGGAATGAGAAAAAGGATGAAAGAGAAGCGATTTGCTATTGAGAGAGATAAGATTTAACCTAAAAAGAAGAAATTTTTTTTTTCCTTTTTTTATAAAAGCCTGCTTCACTTACTATGAATAAGATATTTGGGTCAGATAAATTAGGAAAAAATGCTTTTTATAACACAATATTTTGCTTATATTTGAAAAGGTCTTATTTACTGTTTTATAAATTATATACAACAACGCGACATGTTATATCGATGTGAGTGAATAAGTGCAGGCACTTAAAATAAATATCTCTAATAACTTTGCGGAGACAATAAAAAAATATAAGAGATTAAGTGTTTCATGTCATAAAATTACTTATTACTTTGGATATAAAAAAAAATGGTTTTATTTCCTGTAAACATTACATAAAATATGAGGGAAAATTTATTTACTTTTTTTTGGTATAGAATAAATGTATATTTAGTAAAAAAATCGATAAGAGATCTTGTCATATTTTAATCTACTTGGATTTTTGATGTATTTCATCTTCTTTTTTTTCTCTCTCTCTTTTCAAAAAGGAACAAAGTGACTTTGTAACTCAGCGGCAGTAGATTGTAACCACTATTCTTTAACGCAGATCGTTTGATCTTCTCTTTCATTTTTTTTTCTTCTTTTTCCCTTTTTTTTGACATAGTCTCAGCGACCACGTAAGCGATTCTTATTGACTTATGGCTTATAGCGTTATCCAACGAAGCGTTTTAGAACCGAATCGAAGAAAACTGATCGTTCCAAATGTGTTTAAATCACGTGAAGAAAATTGCACTGCACATTTTTATGAATTATCGCACTATATTTATATTCGTTTACACAATAAAATTGGTGAAATAAATTTTTTTAATTCATTATTTTTTTTGCAGTATAAAATTTTTATTTTTAATCAAATATAATACAGAACAAAAATTTATTTGATTCAATCAGTTACTTCACTATTATTAAATAAATATTTATTTGTATTCTAAATTTTGAAAATTTTAAAAATCGTTTCCCTACAAACCACACTTAAATTTTTTTTAATTTAAAAAAAAACTCCCCTATATGTACATTCTTTTGAATGTAAATAAAATTTTGTTAAAGAAAATTATTCAACAATATTTTTGTACCGAAATTCGTAAAAGTTTTCAGTTAATCAATTTCTTATATATATATATGTAGAAAATGGTTTTATTTGGTGGAAGCAACAAGAAATAGATTTTCGATATATAGTATAGGTATATATATATATATATATAGTTTTATGCCAGTACTGGCAATAAAGTGAAGTGGAATATTTCGAATAGTGTTGAAAAAAAAATTGAAATATGTAAAAGATGAAAGTTTCGATTGAGGTGGTGGGTACCAGGGACGCAAAAACCGATAAATATTCGATCTATGTGGGAGATCTTTTGATATATATAAAACCACATACTGCAAACCGCTATATATAAAAAGAATTGTGTGAAAGTGGAATAGGTAAACTATCATTTCTTAAAAATACCCGAAATTCCATTAGACTTCATCTCCTACCATAAAGTTGATTTAACAGAATTCAAATTTACCTTTATATCTATTATTATTGAATCAATATTTTTTTATTACATATGTTTGAACAGACAGACTATGTATATATATAATACTCTTTATTGAAAAACTTTTTTCATCATCGGGGAAAATTTAATACAACTCTTTTTTCAATAAAAATAATTTATTTTATTAAAATTCTTTTTTTCACCATATTTTACAATATTTTATTATTACAATATAACAAAAGAATTTTTTCTTGATACCATTTTTTTGTATTTTGATTATATATTTTTTGATTTTGACCAATAATTTCTGTAGGGGAGACCGAGGAGGAAAGTAACAAAAATCAGTTTTTTTATGCTAGCATTAAAGATATTTGTCGGATAAATTTGTCCAATATATTAAATGAAAGCTTGGACATTCACCTTTTAAATAAAATTTGAATTAAACATTTATAATAAATTGACAGTTCACAGTATAACTTTTACGCAAGCTCTTCATCTGTTACTTTCCTCCTCACCCCCGAGGAGGAAAGTAACAAGCTCCTAGGAGGAAAGTAACAGTATAAAATTATGTAAAATTCTTTAGACTAATGACTATTATTAATTAGAAATATTTTTATTAGGAACACATAAAAGTTTAAGTACACTTTATACTTATTTGGCACATATTTGGGACATATTTAGCACATATTTCGAACATTTTATGAATTTAGCTCATTTTTTTTCTTAAACATATTTTATGCTTACCTAGATCACAGGTTTTTCTTAAATAAATCTCTGTTATTCGTAAAATTAAATACGATTTGCTTCAATCATTAGTTAAAACATAGACAATATCGACAACTGGAGAAAAGTAGCGTGTTACTTTCCTCCTCGGTCGCTTTTTTCTTGTATGTCAACAAAAAAGTTAAAACTACACAAATGTTAAATTGTTTGTTTAAGCACAACTTAAAGACAGATAATAAGGCTACAAAATAACGAAAGGCACATTTTGAAAAACAATAAAATTAAAGAAATACGAGACTTTGAAAATTTGAACGAAAACTTACTTTTGACGTTTTTTCTTCACGTCACACCGGAATCAGACCTAACCTTTCCTGTCAGGCTCGGACACACTATGGAGGAGGAAGGGGGAACAGTGCCGACTAAAAATATGTTTGAACCATGTCTATCCGATAATTTGTTTAAAAGTTATAAGCTTTGTTACTTTCCTCCTCTGTTACTTTCCTCCTCGGTCTCCCCTACTTAAAACAAATATCCATTTAATTGACACAAGTAATTATTTATTTGGATAATAGTCAAGTAATCGACTATTTGAATGAAATAAATTTTCTTTTTCCATTTTCGAGAATCCGTATAGTTGATAAAAAATTGCATCAAGTGAGGCGGACAATAAATTCATACATTCTTAACACATCATTGCCGGCATCGCATATGAATTGTGAATGTCAGTAAAGAGAGGCACATACAAACTTTTCAGGGCTTTCCCGTGGACGACGGATCAACAAAGTCTTTTGGTAAAGAGAGAGAGGAAAAAAAAGAGAGAGGGAGTGAAGGGCGCCGGTTTATGCCCAGTAATTTTCCCAGGAGCGTTTTCATGAAAATTTCAGGAGCTTTACGCTCCATTTATCGACTGTGTGAAAGCTTTCCTTATACACTCTTTTTTTTCATTTCCCCTCTTTCGTTTCTAATTTTTTTTTCCAGTGGTTTAGGCACTTCACTCATTCTGAACAAAAATCACTTTTCAACTCTCTCTCTTTCTCTCTCTATCGTTTGGATTTATATATATATATATATATATATATATATTCACGAAAAAGGGGAAGCAATTCTGTTAAATTTTATTGTACACGTGTTTGTCGTTTTGCGATTGATTGAAAGTGTGAGTTACACGTGTAAATGTGAATACACTATATATAGTAGTATAGCGTATGTGGGATTTACACTCAATTACGAGTCAAAGAGGACGCCAAAACCCGACGATTAGTCCTCTTTCGTTTCGCGCGATGCCCTCGATTCTATTTCGCAAAACCTCATTCGAATACAAATTGAATCGAGCTTATCTTTGTCAAAAGCTGCTTTTTTCAAATGCTATAACAACCGTTTTTTTTCTATGATATAGCCATATATAAAGACTGAAATTTCATTCATCGTAATTCATCACTTTAATTAGTTTTCAAAAAAAAATTTTTTTTTTATTTTCAAGTCATAATTGGATTTTATTTTTACCCCAAAAAAGGGCTTTTATTTTCCCGTTGATTTGAAAAAATGGTTTTTATTAGGTAGCAGTAAAACAATTTTTTTATTCAAATTCTAATTTGGAGAAAATTAGAGGAAAAGACTACTACTAGTTGGAATCTAGCTCCAAGCTAGTTCCAGTCTAGTTTTAATTTAGTTTCAACCACTTCCTATGTAGTAGTTATTATTACCAAACTCGTTTCAATCTAATTCTAATTTATTTGAAATTTAGTTCCTATCTAGTTTCTATCTAGTTTCTATCTAGTTGCAAGAAGTTTTCTTCATTTCTCTTCCAGTAATTTCTCAGTATGTAAACATCACACAAGAGGTGTGTTGAGATACGATATAAAAGACAACTAACCAAAAAGACAAAGTAATCTCTTGAGAATTGAGAGACCCAGGGCTTAATATCGATTTCTCGTTAGACAATTCAAGTCACGATTCTCGAAAAATACGCGGCGGGGACTTTTTTTCTGTTCATCTTAAGTATCGTCGCAATTCAAGATTTTCTGTCACAATATATATATATATATATATATATATATATATATGAGAACGAGTATACAATTTACAATATATTAATCAGTGGAAAATTTCTTTTTCGAAAATATTACGTATATATAGAAAAATTATAGATTAGAGGAAAAAAAAAATAATTTTGCGGGTAAAAATGTAAATTTAATTTTATTGCGAGAAAAATATAGTAGTTGAAAATATTAACAAATATTTTTTTTATGAATGACGCATCATCAAGAAAAGTGAATCGACGGGAAAAAGAGGTCAGCGAAAAATTATTCGGGGAAGAAAAAATGAAATGTGTGGTATAATAAAAATGCCAGTAAAAATATTTTATTTCTTATAAATGATAATAATAATATAATAAAGAACAAGTAATAATAAATAATAGTAATATAATAAAAAAAATAAATAATAGTAATATAAATATAATAATGTAAAAAGTAAGAAAAAAATATATTGAATGCTTTTTTCTATAACTTGATATAACTAAAAGTTGGGTAAAAATTGTTTTTTATTGAAAATGTTCTCATTTATTTCAAATTTTATTTTTCAAATTTTATTAAATCTACAATACCTACAAATGCACCATTTATTTATCACAAAAGGCAAAAAAGAAAAGTTTGTATGTTGATAAATCAAAATGTGTATAAAATTGTTCCCTTTGTAGTGATTTGATGAAAAAAAAACAATATCTTTTTTGTAGTTTCTTTTTCTTTTTTTTTGTAAAGTTACGAACTTTAGTTGCGTATAATACGTGACTGACGTGGGATTTCTCAGCTTTCATTCAGTTTTATGCTAAAGCACTATACAACGTATATATATGTAGTGGAACCTCTGGCACTCTTCCAATTAGATGTTGTAAAGAGAATTATACTAAAACTATATAATATTAAAAAACAACCTTGAGGGTATTTTTTCCTTTGAAATAATTAACGTGATTCTTTTTTTCGTGTGTGCTCAAAAAAAAAACTAAAATGAACCTTTTTACAAAAATTTTATTCAATTTAATAATTGTAATAACAATTTAATAAACAATTATGTACAATAATAATAACAATGATAATAAGAATAATACGTAATAACAATTATAATAATACAAATAATAATAATAACAATACGTAATAATAATTATAATAATAATAGTAATAATAGTATAAAACTAATGAAAATAATTTCATAAATAACAATATAAAAAGTAATTTCGAATAAAATTTTATTTTCCTCTTTCTGATAAAATATGTAGAAAAAAATTTGATGAATAATTTGAACAGACAAATATATTACTAATGTAGAGGAAGTTATTTTCAAATATGATTAATTGATTGTTTTTCTTGTTTACCAAAACCCCTTATAATACTCAATGTCACTATTAATCATTAGCTTTTATTCAATTAGACAACTGAAGGTTAAACAAATCATCATTAAAACTAATATTGATTGTAAAAAAATTGGGGAAAGTGAGAAGAAAAAATTATTATATACAAAAATAATAGCCCAATTTACTTTATTTTTAAAGATGTACTCGAAATTTCAAAATAATTTTTCTAATATTATAAAATTTTTCTTTTATTATACAAAATTGTGTTATATGAATTAAAATTTTATAAACTTAAGAACAAACAGATTGTTCAAAAAAAAAAGATATGGGAGGAAAATATAAATTTGTTCTCGAAAATGTTTTTTAAATTTTTATATTTCTTTGAGTATTATTTGCTTTTCGTGTATTTCTTTTTTCTTATTCAAAAAATACGCTCTTTTAGAATTCCCTGAAGCAACCGTTCCTTTTATATATATATATATATGTAGAAGGAAAAGCTTCCTCTCTCGTCCATGTTATGGTGGAAAATTCGCAATTTTTCTCTCTGGTTGCTTGCACGATCGATGTTCACACAGACATATATTTATATATATATATATATACACATAAGGCCTTTAAGGGCCATATAGTTTTGCAAAACAAATGGCCTTACCTGAAACTCCACACGATACAGAACCGGAAACTTCCTTCGAAGTTCACAAAGCTTTGGGTATTGCGAAAGCTCCGTTGGCGTTGATGGCAGAGTTTCGCCCATACCAAGTTCCTCAGCAGCTTAAAAGAAAACAATTAATTTAATAAGTGACAAAGTTTTTTTTTGTAAAAAACATTTTTTTTTTAAATTAAATTTTATGCTGAAAAAAATTAAAGTTATTTAACTATTTATCAAATAAATATTTACTTGAAGCAAATAATTTTTAAAACCAAATAATTTTTGAATGTAGTGGATGTAATCCTAATTGTAAATGTACAACTAGGGTACAATTAAGGTTTTATAGAATTTTTTTTCGAATCATTTTCCAGAAAACTCAAATGATCCACAGTTGCCCACTCTTCTCTCTCTCCCTCTCTCTATATAAAAAGTATGACATGGAAAAAATCACAGAAACGAGTATAGTGTATACTTTGGACGTGAACAAATATTTAAATAAAAAGTAGAAATTTAAATGAACGTTTCGCTGGGTAGAAATATTCGTGACATGTGATATAAAAAAAGGAGAAAAAAAATATTCTGTAAATCTGTAGCTTGTTGACGTTCTCAACTTTCACGTGGTTTCTCATCTCTCGTATATGCGGACACATCTGCTGAAAGTGTCTTCATTTTGTTGTATATATTTAAAAAAAATGCAAAAAACTTGTTATTTGACAAATAGAATAATTTAGAATTGCTATAAAAAAAATTCACATTTTACACGTTCTGAGCTATGCGTATAAGTAAAATTATCCAATTTTATTTCATTTTTTTCAAAATAAAATTATATTATGAAAAATTGTATCACGTTTCATTAAATTAAAAAATCAAACCACATTTTATACGCTAGAAAAAAAATATTTTTCAATTAACTTTTTTTTATTTTTAATTAAAAGTATAATGTTTATTTTTCTTCAAATAAATTTTATTTGTCAAAAAATAATCAATTAATTAATTAATTTAAAACTAGTTATTAATATTAATATAATAAAATATATTAAAAAAAAATTATGAATGTAAATTTATTTAAAAATTCAAAATTATATAAAAATACTAATTATTTATCATCTCTTTTTTTCAGGTGGATTAAAAGTTTGTTTCGAAGAAAGTTTGGCGAAAGTTGGCAGCGATGAAGAAATAAACAAATCGAGTAAGTCTCTTAAAACCAATTAAATGTTCTCCCTCATTTCACAATCGGAAATGTGAGTAAAACTATATATATATGTATATAATACTTTTAATGTTTAGTTAGTGTAGTGATTCGTAATTCATTGAAGATTCCAATCACGACTTTCTAAAAGTCCATGATGAGTACTATATAGTTCTCTCCTCTTCAGTGTGGCTTTGATAAGTTAGCGCATGTCATTAGAAAAGGGAATTTGGTGAAACGCCCAATTCTCAATTACCCTACATTCATTCTCATTGATCTTTGAATTCCAATATATGTATTATTATCGAGTGATTCTCTCTCTCTCTTCATATAAATGTATATATACAGAAAAGTGAATTCAAAGCCGATTATTACATTTTCACGTGTATAGTGAAATATTGGAAATGGACTTATTCATATATGTATAGACATAAAAAAATGATGCAACAAATTATTCATTTTATTTATTATTGTTGTGCTTTTAATATTCAGAATGAGAATATTCGTGTATATATATGCAGTGAAAAGAATTTGACTCTTTTTTTTATACATTTTGAGTGCTTTACTTTTGGAAAAATTTTAATAGTTACATTATTCAAGGGCTGTTCAAATATTCTGTAAGCAATTTTGGAATTTTTTGTTTTTTTATGACGAGGTATACATGAATTGTCCCACTTGATTTAAAACTCATTTGCGATAAATTTATTTCATATATAAAGTTCACGTGTGCAATAATATTTCAAAGGCCATAAATCTCGTTTAACATTAATCCTTTTTTATACAAAACTTTCTTGGCATAAATCTCATTTATAACAATTAATCATATTTGAGATATAAAACTTTAAATCTCATTTGATGTTTTGTAATTCTTATGAGATTTATGCCAAATAAGATTCATGTCAAGAGAAATTTTTCGATTAAAGCCAATATTTTTTAGTACAAAAATTATGTCAATTAAATATTATGACAAGTAAAATTTATGCCAAATAAGATTTATTCCAAATGTGATTTATGCCAATTACAATTTATGTCACATGATTTTTATGTCAATGATCATTTATGTCAAGTAATAAGATTTATGACAAAATAATATTTACATCAAATAATGTTTATGCCAATAGTGTAATTTATGCCACAATTGAGATTATATTTCAAGTACATAAGATTCATGTCAAATGAGATTTATGTGTCAAATGAAAATTATGATAAATGAGGTTTATGTCAAGTTAACTTTATATGTCAAATGAATTTACAGCAAATGAGTTTTATGTGAATTGAGATTCGGGGGAATATTCATGTACCTTCTCTCTATCTCTCTCCCTCTCATGTATATTCAGTAGTAAAAGACAGTTTCAATCAGACCAAACTCGTGAATTCTTGAAACGTCAAAATCAGTGGTAAAAGTGAGTTTCACTCAAACGGGTCGTTTCTAAGATCTTGTAATTATGATTTCAGTGTATATATATAGTTACAGAGTAAGTTTGCGTCAGATTTTCCAAGTTCTTGTAATTTCAAAATCAGTTGTACAATATAGGAGAGTATCAATCAGACAAAGTATTTTGAAATTAAATACTAAATTTTAGTATTAATTATTTACTAAATTTATTTATTTATTTATTTAGAAAAATGAAAAAAAAACAATTATGGATTTTGCGAATTATAAATATAGTCTCAAACGTGGCGTTGAGATTACAAATTGTTTGTGAATTACTAATTTAAAATAACGGTCAAGAATTGAAAAGCCATGCCTACCCTGACCCACTTGGCATGTGTGATTCTGGATACATTGATGAGCTTTGTTGATAGAAACAGGTGTTATTATTACTGATATTTTAAAAATTATGGAATTCCTTCAAAAATCAAATTTTTTAATCTATCAAAATTCTCCAACTATCGAAAAATTTAACAGATATTTTGAAATTTCTATTTTATTTTAAAGGAAATTTGCAAAAATAATTTTCATAATAATTAAAAAATAATTAAACAAACAAAAAAAAAATTTTTAAATTTAATTCAAAAATTTATTTTCAAAAAATAGTAAGACTTTTTCTTTGAATAATTTTTTTTTATAAAAGAAATTGTATGCAATTTTCTTTTTTAATCAAAAATTTTGATTTTATACATTATGTTTAACGATAAAGGAATATGACATTAGACGATTCTTGTCTTTTGGTCCAGAAGAGAACGCAATCATGAAAAGACAAGTCAAGTTCTCATTTTTCCTTCTATTATATGGGAGAGGTATAAAAATAATATAGGAGCTGTTCCGCGTCTTATTTTTCTTTTCTTTCTCTCATACCAAGTACATTGGATTTAATCCGATAAGCTACGACTAGAAATAAAAAGAAATGAAAAAGCACTAGAACCCACTATAGCAATCTAAGGATTACATTCTCCGTGTGTGTTGGATTAATTCCCTTGGAATTTTAATTGCATTTTATTTAAAAAAAAATATATATTTTTTTAAAATTATCTTTTATTATTTCTATCAAGAAATTATTATTCTTTATACAAAAATAGTTAAAAATTAATTACATTTTTAAATATTATTTTTGTTATTTCTATATGGAAATTATTATTTTCTATTAAAAAATTTTTTATTTTTATTTCTTTTCGTATGGGACTAAAATTAATTTTTCTCTATTTCGTTATATATATATTGATAGTTGACATTGACCAAGAATTTGTGAGAAAATGATTAAACTTTTGAGAACCTTGATATATTTTGTCTTTGGTTTGTGTCCAACATATTTCTTAACTAGTGGCTAATTTCCTTATGCCTATACGAATACCAAGGGAATTTCTGAACCTATTTTAGAATAAAATTATTTATATTTTAAAAAAATTATTACTATTATTATTTTTATTATTTTTTTCGAAGATTAATACAATAGGGGAAAATTATCCAAATTAAATTCTTGCCTCTGGTGTATAATTATATACCTATATATATTTTATAAATGATTAAAATACATAATTTCGGATTTGGTCCATAAACTATATAATTTTACAAATATAAGTATCTGCTATTCAAATGAGAACGTGACTCTCCATCATGTTGATAAAATAAATCAACTGTCGGATGTCGATTGATTCACGGAAATGGAACTGAATTTCCACTTCTAAACATATACATATATTGAAATATTTCAATTATATAATGAATGCAATTGGCATAATTTTCATAATTGACGCTTGCTTGTAAATTTGGTTTTAATTTGAATGCTATATATATAGCGCAGGAAGATTTTATTTTCTCGCTGTGGAAAAATATTTTAAATAAAAATAATTGTCACTAATTTATCAAATAATTTATTTTAATTTAAATAATTAAACACAATTTTTTTTTTATAATTTAATTCTTTAAATTTTAATAATTTAACAAAATTATTATTAGTAATGGAATAAAATTATCAATCCATCCAAGTCAAAATGGTCAAAATTTTGACTTGGATGGATTGATAATTTTATTCCATTACTATTTATTACACCAAGTGATAAATTCATCATTAAAAAAAATTATTATTAATTAAATAATTAGGAAATTAAAACAATAAAAAATGATTTTTTCATCTTAATAGTAATACAATTCGGATTGTTTTTCTGACTACCATGTGAAATGAAAATATTTATTGCTCATGAAATTTCTTGTTTCAATTATAAATTTTCTGAAAATCCTCGAGTATATAGATGACGAGATTATGCCTTTGAAATTTTCCGGTTGACTGAATATTTCGCTGTCCCGCCTGGGGCTCAGCTGCTTTTCCCGCAAAGTGTATATAGCGATCCCAAGTGTCAAAATCGATTTCGTTCACAAATATATGAAAGACATAGAGAGAGAGAGGAGAGGATTTGAAATTTTATTCTATTCTTCTTTTGTCTTTTTTTATACTGCCCCCTCCCCTCTCTGTCTGAAAGTCAAATAGGTAGTGT